AGGAGGAAGAGGAGGAGGAGGAAGAGGAGGAAGAGGAAGAGGAGGAGGAGGAAGAAGAAGAGGAAGAAGAGGAGGAAGAGGAGGAGGAAGAGGAGGAGGAGGAAGAAGAAGAGGAGGAAGAGGAAGAGGAGGAGGAGGAAGAGGAGGAGGAAGAGGAAGAAGAGGAAGAAGAAGAAGAAGAGGAAGAAGAGGAAGAGGAAGAAGAGGAAGAAGAAGAGGAAGAAGAAGAGGAAGAGGAAGAGGAGGAAGAAGAGGAAGAAGAAGAGGAGGAAGAAGAGGAAGAGGAAGAGGAGGAAGAGGAGGAAGAGGAGGAGGAGGAAGAGGAGGAAGAGAAAGAGGAGGAGGAAGAAGAGGAAGAAGAGGAGGAGGAGGAGGAAGAAGAATAGCATGTAAAACATAAGTTCTATATAAATCCATACATTTAGTCAATTTGAGTTACATCTTAGACTTTTTGAAGAAACTGATAAGCTAATCTAAAGAACAAGGAAAAGTACAAACATGAGGTTGACCAGACCAAGTTTGACTTGTGGCCAAAGGGATTTTATCCCACTATCACTCATATTAAAATGTTTGATGATATGATAGTTAAAAGGACATAGTACTGGTATAACAGTAGACAAGTTAATGAAACAAAATAGCCAGTAATTAGGCCCAAGTGTAAGTTAGCATGCAGAACAGTATAAAGGAAACACTTGAAATCAATAGAGCAAGATGAATCAATCAGTAAATGGACTTGGGATAGCTGACCAGTTATTTGGGTTGGGGAGGACTGACCCTCTACCTCTATTTCAAAATGAATTCCAAAAGGACACAATATTTAAATATAAAATAGGAAAACCAGGCAGGCATAGTGGCACACATGTGCAATTCTAGCACTTGCCACCATACCCATTGGAAAAGCTTTCCTTAACACTGCACTGACAGAGAAAATAATGAAGCAAGATTGACAGATTTTACTTCTTGGTTACTTTCACAGGTAACTGGCGGGTCACATCTATGAAGTATAGTTTAGTTATCCAACAGTAACCAGCAGACACATAATTGCTCATACTATGCTAATTGCACATAGTATGCTAGGCAAGTTCTAAATGATGTATGTGACCCTGTGCCACCCTGTAGTCCCAACTCTGACTTGCACCTGTCTGAGGGTCTGCAGTGAGGCTAAGGAGGGTTAGGAGGGTGAGTGCTCACCCTTTCTTATTAGCATCCTCTTGATCTAAAACAATTTTTCCCACTCACAGTTTTTGAACATAAAGACCATTATCTGTGTGTATTACTCAGAGAGCGAGGTTCCACCTGGGTTTTGTATTTAGAGAGACAGGAACAAGGCCAATGGTTTGTTCTGATGAAAATGACTAACAGACACAAAGTTGGCATTCTCGGGTACAGATACACACATGTATGGAATTATCCCGAAGACAAGGCAGAAGGGAGAAGAAAGAGACAGAGGAGGCCAGAGGAAATGGAGAACACACATGAAGAAAGGTCCATGTTCTAAGGCTGGGCAAGTAAAAAGAGTGCAGGTTACTGAAGTAGGGAAAGGGAAGCACGTGCCTGAGTCCAACATTGTTGATATCATCCCATATGGAGGCAGGGAGTTCCCAGAATGTCTTACTGGTGGCGTTCAGGATTGCCTGGAAGACACAGGGAGGGGGAATGACTGGATGATCTGAAAGAGGAAAAGTGTAAAGGGCTGGGTAATGGGAAAGGATGACGAATGGGGCAAGAGCAAAAGGTAAGGGGTATTGAGTTGGATCAAATTCAAAAATACCTGAACCCCAGCATAGGCATTATTGACCAGCACATCTAGACGTCCATTCTGTTCCCGAGTTACTCGCTCAAATAGGCTTCGCACTTCACTCTCCTGGCTTGAATCACACACCACAGGCACACATTGGCCCCCAAGGGATTGTGCCTGGTGAAGAAAAGATGACACGCGCTTATGGTTGCACACTAATGTGAAATATAAGGCAGTTTCTCCAACTAACGTGGGCTTGGGAACTCAAGGTGATCGAAGGAATCAAAGCCAGCAGTCAACACAACAGGCAATACCACCCCCTGGTGTTCTGTTTGTGGAACTTTAGGAAGTGACTGGGTCCTCCCAAACCACAGAATAGGATGGTTTGGGATCTCAGGTTTAAAAACTACAAATAAGAGTTACTGATGTAGCTCAGTGGTAGAGTGCTTGCCTAGCACGCACAAGGCCCTGAGTTCAATTCCTAGTGCCACATACAATACAATACATTCAATATAATACAAAACATTTACGTTCTTCTAGTATTTGGTACATGATACATCTTAAATCTTTTTACTTCTTCCCCATTCCCCTTTCCCTCACCCTTGATCTCTGGAACCCTGCCCATTTACAAAAGATCTATTTCCCTATTTACTTCTGTCAGTCCTTTATTTTGTTCTACATCTGTGCTTTGTCTTACTATTTAAGCTTCTGTGTCTTATATACTTCACTTAATATATTTTCCAGACATCCATTTTTCTACAAATGCCTAGAAATTACCCTTTATAGCTGACCACAAATACCACATTTTCTTTATCTATTCATCTAAAAATAATGAGAATGGGGAAAGGGGATTTAGAGTCACAGGGAGGGAGGTGGGGAGGGGAAAGGAATAAAAAAGAACAAGATGTGTTATGTACATGTAAGAGATATGTACTAATAAAAATCTATAAACATTTACTAAAGCCTTTCATAAGCAAGCTGAGGATAAACACAAGTCATGGGACCTATTCCTACAAACAAGGAACTGTTCTTTTCCTTGTCCTCGGTCATTTCCAACTCACATGCCCTCACAACTCTACCACTCATGTGAAACTTTTTTTAAAAATGTATTTTAGTACAGGGTCTACAGGGTCTCACTACACAGATTAGGCTCACAGTGATCCTCCTGTTTCCAGCCTTCCAAGCACTGGGATTCCAGGTGCGTGCCACACAGCATGCTGGGGCTCAAACCCCAGTCCCTGCGCCTGTCCAGGCAGGCACTTTAGTCTGTTGAGCTATTTGGCCGGCCCCTCACTTGAAACTCTTAATCCCAGCCCGCTTCTCCCTGTTCCACCAATGCTCCTGCTTGGTAACTGAATAACAGACAGGATCAGGTGAAGGATTTTCACAATTGTAGCCCACCCTCAAGCCTCAGAGGAGGAAGGAGACTTTCTGCAAGAACAACCTCTTATTCTCAGATCTACGCTCTGTGTGCCACTGTTTCTCTTACTTACCTCAACCACTGCAATGCCCAACTGCTCACTCAACATCTAATCTTTTTGCCTTAAATTCATTCTTCATAATCAAGTCAGTATAAACTATCAGAAACACCAAGCTATTTGAAAATATGAAATCTCCTGGAACACTGGAACACTTGTTTTTTGGTGTTGGTGACTGAACCCCAAGACTTTGAACATGTTAGGCAAGCACTCGACCACAAGCTACACCTGCAGCCCTCTGTTAGCAACCTTTAAGATCCATGGTTTGCTTGACGACATTTTACCCAGTCCTCCACCCTGCACTACCTGACAACTCCACAGATCTTCACCATTCTCCTCCACTCCTCTATGCATGCTGGAGCTAGAACCCAGCGCTTCACGAATGCTCAGAAGGGGCTCTAGCACCGAGAAATATTCTCAGGCCTTCTTTTTCTAACTCTTCCCTTTAAAGTTCTCCAGAGTGTTTCCCCTAACCACTCCCTTTATTATCTCTATGCACCTCCACACCCCAGGAGTCTGCTGTACATATCTCTTTCTTATCACTTATCGCATTACATAGAAATGACTGGCTTCTCCAAGTGGACATTTAAGAGCAGAAGTTACATTTTATTAGTCTGGCATGGCTAACAAATTAGAGGTGCTGAAACATTTATTTTACTGATACGCAGTAGAGAAGTCAAAAATACAGTTTACTAGTATCTTACCTCAAATAGAGAAAAACTGATGTCTAAAAACCTGTAGTTGAAACTGCAAAACCCTGGGCTGGTGAGATGGCTCAGTGGTCTAAAGCACCTACTTAGAACAAGCTTAAGCTAAACAAAAGCACAGGGACCGCGGTTCAATCCCCAGCACCACATGCCAGCCAGCCCCGCCCCCTGGTGGGCTGAGCTGGCCACACACACACACACACACACACACAAAATAAATAAATAAATAAATTAGAAAGAAATTGCAAAACCCCTTAAACTCTCAAACACAACCTTTTTTTCCTTTAAAATTCTCGTGGTATTGAAACTCAATCTTAACGTGAATTTACTTATGGAGTTTATTTTACACTGAGTAAATACTTAAGTTTCGTTTTAGAATACTAAAATGTCTACTAAGGTACTGGACTCCGAAGACTGGTTGATTAGAAGAGGTCCTTCAGGTAGTCACTTACCTCCTCAGCAGCGACCCGAAGGGTGTCCTCGTGGCGGCCAGTTATGTAAACCGTGGCACCTGCTTGGCAGAGCTGCAAGGCAATGCCACGGCCAATACCCCTCGAGGCACCAGTCACCACACACACTTGGCCCTTCATGAGAGGTGCCATGACTCCGGTAAAGGGGGTTATCTGTGAAGCAAAGAACGGCTTTGTGTCTAGAGGAAGGACACCGTTAGGGTGGGAGGGGCAGCCAGGGCTGGAATCCTTTAAGGGGAGACCAGTTGCCCTGGAGGACAACCAAGCTCGGGATCCTGGCTAGGCTGACTGTTCCTTTTGGGAGGCCCAGGGCAAGAAGGCTGGATGGGACACGACTGCTATGAGTGGAGCTAACTAGCTTGGGGACCCTGGCCACCCTCAGAGATCGAGCCAGGCCGTGGCTTTCAGGTCAGGTGCGCCTTACCTGCAGACCACAGTGCTTCTAGAATGCCTGGTGCGGTTGGTTCTCCAGGCCTTTTTACTTAGTAGTTGGAGAACTTTGATTCCGGACGACAGGGGAGATGAAATGACGCTATCTGGGTCAGAGTGCCAGGCTGGGGTGGAAGTCCACGCGCTGGCCAGGATGGCGCAGGAAACGTCCAAGAGAGACTCAAAAATCACAGGGTGGGGGAGGACAATTCTGGCGAAGGCCGCAGAGGGGCAGTCCAGGGCCAGGTTAAAACCTGCAATGATTGGCTGGCGGTCCGGAAGACAGCCCCGCAGCCGGCTCGGGTCGTCGCGATGCTATGACGTAACATACTGCGCCGGGGGCGCGCCGGCGTGTCTGGCTTAAGTTCGCGTCGGCGGGAGCGTAGCGGCGCGAGTGTTCTGCGCCCAGAGTTCACACAGACTGCGAGGTCACGAAACTTGTATGGGGCTGAGCCCGCGCTCCCCCCACAAAGTGGGGCGCCAGTTGCCAAGTGGCAGCAAGCGGGGGCGCGGGGCCAAGAGGTCGGGGCGACCCCCACCTGGCCGTGAACGGCACCCTCGGCCGCCTGCAGACCGGAGCTCCAAGTCGGCTGTCGAGGAGCATCCACACCTGAGCTCCGAAGCCCTGGGCTATTTCCGACGGGCACTGACAGCGCTGAAGGAGGCCCCCGAGGCCGGGGAAGAACGAGGTAGGGAGGAACTAAGGGGTGGGATCAAGAGCATAAAATCCCTAACAAGCTAGGAAACTTTCTAGGGAGGGTCTCCAGAGTGCGGGAAGTTGGCTTTATCCCTCGTGTCCTCCTTTTCGGCCCCCGCCCTTCTCCCCTTGATTAGGTGATGGAACATAACCGTACCCTCTTCTCAGTCTTTTAAAAGTCCTTTTCTCCCACCACCCCCCCTCCAGAGTTGATGGTGCGCAATATTTTGAAGGAAGTGGAAGCTCAGGCCCTGGCCTTGGCAACGAACAGGACGGGCAGTGAGATGCTGCAGGAACTCTTGGGGTTCAGTCCTTTAAAACCGCTATGTCAAATATGGACCGCTCTGTGCTCCAACTTTCGTTTTGTGGCCTGTCATCGGTGCGGGGTCCATGTATTGCAAAGTGCTTTGCTACAGTTGCCTCGATTGCTGGCGAGTCCAACAGAAGAGGAGGAGAGGAAAGAGGAGGAGGAGGAGGAAGATGGGAAGAATGGCACTTGGGAGGCCCTAGAGAAGCTGGTCTTGGCACTGGCCTCTGAGGTGTGTGATGATTTTCTTTTCTACTGTGGAGACATACATGGCAGCTTCGTGGTCAGAACTCTGCTGCAGGTGTTAGGAGGGATTCTTCTGGAGTCTGAGAGAGCCAGGCCCCGTGGCTCCCAGTCATCTGGTAAGTATAACAAGAAAGGGAACTGGCTCTGATGGATAGGAGAGTTTAGGAAGCTAAGAAGAGAAAAGTAAGCAAAGTCTTCAGTAGGGGGTTTGACCTTGGACAGTTAGCTGAGAAATTGTCTCAGAAGATCTGAAGACCAGAGATTAGTGTGTGCAGAGGTCTAGAGGTAAGGGTGTACAGATTGTTCAGGGGGTCAGCTGTTAGTATAGGGGCAGGAAGAGGAAGTGAGTGATATAGAGCCATAGACTTCAAACTATTTTTTTAACCATGACTCACAGAAAATTTTTTATTTTATTTATTTATTTGTATTTTAGGGAAGGATCTACAGGGTGTTCCGGGTCTCACCACTAGATCAGACTTACAGTGATCTGCCTGTGTACAGCCTCACAAGAGCTGGGATTACAGGTGTACTCCACCACTGCTGTCTCAGCGCTCCCCAGGGACAAGGGCAGCAGGGCAGGCCCGGGGATAGAACCCATAGCCCCTGCGCCTGCTTGCAGGTGCTTTAATATGCTGAGCTATTTGGCTGGCCCTGGAAATTTGTTTTTAAATATGACTCAATATATGTATATATTTGGCCAGCCCTGGAAATTTGTTTTTAAACATGACTCAATATATATGCATATAGGGCACGCTGCAGTTGAGACTGGGTGTGGTGGCACGTGCCTGTAATCCAAGCTCTTGGGAGGCTGTAAATAGGCGGTCCAATCTAGTGTGACACCCTGAACACCCTGTAGACCCTTCTTTAAAGTACAGGAAAGAAAGGAAAAAAAAAAAAAAAATATATATATATATATACACACACACACACACGTATTACATTGAAACAAAAGTTTAGAAAATACTGTTAACTATGTGCTATTTCATTTATAATTTATTTTGCTTTGTTCATGAACAAAATGCTGGTCAAAGTCACCAGCTTTATTTCATAACACAGTGATAAGCTCAGAAAACAGAAATATAGTCAGAGTATTTAAGGCCTGATTTTGGAGTACATACATACCTGGCTGAGTTTATGGCTCTTATGGACCATAAGGGAAGTAGTGGAATTTTTTGAACAATTAAAACAAATGTTTCAGTTTGTCATCCATAAGGGACATTTCAGTTATCTCATATCTGCTTTGCATCTCTAAGCTGAATCCTTGTTCATCTATGGAATTCTTCTGGGTGTCAATTTGTGTCTCATCGTTACTCATGTTTTGATTTTTCTTTAGAAGCACAAAGGGCCCCAATTCGGGAATGTAAATCAGCTGATTTTGAGGTTCCTCAAACTTTCCTGAATTGCCTTCAGGACCTGGTCTCCTTCTTTCTGAAGGACATTGCTGGTAAGGAGGAGATTTGGAGGAGGGTCTGGGATCCATCTGTTTAGAGGTGATTACTACCAGTTAAGGTCCTTACATCAGATCTTGCCTCCTGTCTTTAAACCTGATCTGGCTTGGTACTGTAAAGCATTCTGTGTAGATGCTTTGTGTCTGCAGTCCCTTGTACCTTGTTGTTCAAGGTTTTTACAGGTTGTGTAGCTTTTGGGCAAAGCATCTAGTTTTTTCTGCCCTCTCTCCGCAGTGTTTATCACTGACAAGATTTCCAGCTTCTGCCTTCAAGTGGCCTTACAGATCTTACACCGCAGACTGCCCCAGGTTTGTGCTCATCTCTGCAGTGCTACGATTGACTTCTTGAGGACTCGTAATTCCTCAGCAGATGGCAGGTATGGTCAAGGCCTTGGAACTGGCCCGAGTTGGTGGGACCATGTCACATGAGTGAGATGATGTGGTACAATTGCTTGTTGTATGAAGTGGAGTTACAGTGGTCTGCTCTTCCCCTTGTCTCCAGCCCCCTACTGCTGTTTCTCAGGGATCAGACAAGCTCCAGACTCCTGGAGCAGGTGCTTCTGGTGTTGGAGCCCCTGGAGCTTCAGAGCCTCTTTGAGGATCATTTCAAGGGTCAGCTGCAGACCCTGGCTGCACATCCCATTGCTAACTTCCCTTTGCAGCGCTTGTTGGATGCAGTCACTACTACTGAGCTGGTGAGTTGGAAACCTAGGTTGAGTGTTTTTCCTGCTATTCTTGTTTATTGGGTGTCATTTTATTGTGTGCCAGCCTTCTTATCTCCTGACAGTGTTGCCCATTACTTTTATAAAGTTATTATTCAGGGTTTTCTAGAGCTTAGAGTGGGGATGCCCTGCTCCCAGAGGAGATTTGTTTTAGTTTCTTAGGTGCAAGTACCAGCAGGAGATTGTCTTAATTGAAATTGGCAACGTGAAGTTTTATGGCTATCCAGTACTCTGGGTTATTAGTTATAAGCCTACACCGGGCTCTTGGCATTGCTGCTCTTTTCCTTGGCTGCTTAGCACCAGGGTGGGTGTCCCATTGGGCTTGTGGGTTGGGAGTTTCAATGGAAGGACTGGCTATTTCTGTTTTTCCCTTACACATAGGAAAGGGCTATGTCCCCTCTTTATGTGAGGTGGCACCTTTCTGCCCCTGTGTCTTGGGCTTATTCAACCAATCCCAAGACTTGACATTGACAAGCCTCTTTATTATATTCTGTCTAGTACTTTTAATTGTTTTCAGCAAGAACATTTCTCTGAAAAACTTAATTCATTATTACTAGAATGCCAAAGATTCTGCATCCAATGTTTCTCCTTAGCTGTCTCCTGTGTTTGAGGAGCTGAGTCCTGCATTGGAAGCTATCCTGGCCCAGGGCCATACAGGCGTAGTTGTTGCCCTGGTGGGGGCCTGTCGTAGAGTTGGGGCTCACCAAGCCCAGGTCTTGCAGCTGTTGTTAGAGGTAAGTGCTACTTAGAATCAATTTATTCTGAAGTCTAAATTCTACTGCTTTAGGACATACCTAATTTTTCGTGATAGTACCACTTGGTCTAAGAGATCTAATGCCAGGGGAGTTCACAGATACAGGGGAAAAAAATCCAAGAGCCATCTTATAGCTCTAGAATGAAAATTGTTTCCCAGTTGTTACACTTATACATATAGTAGGGATAAGTGTTTTTTGATCCCTACCATATGTATAGAGGCTGGGAATACAGCAAGGCAGATAAGATCCAGCCCTCTTAAAGCTTACTTTCTTGTAGAGTTAGGCTTTCTCATTTTTCCTGAATGTTTTCTCTGTGTAGAAAGCAGAGATTACAAGTAGGTAGTTCTCAGAATCACCATGTTTTTTCCTTCACTAGGCATTCCACTGTGCAAAGCCCTCTTCCCGGCAATTGGCTTGTGTGCCTCTCTTTGCCACTTTGATGGCTTATGAAGTATACTATGAACGTACAGAGGAGGAAGGGGCGGTGCCTGCAGAGCACCAGGTGAGTTAGCAGAGAGGCTAAGCTGTTGTCTCACTGGGATCAGGCTTTGCTGGGCTTAGGAAGCCCCTTGAGTAAGGTGGAGAGAGTCTGACCTCAGCCAAGTGAAGGTGGCATTACCCTGAGGATGAGCTCATCCGCCTGGCTTGGTGACTGCCTCCTAATTTTCTGTCTCCTTGCTTCCAGGAGGAAATAGCCACATCCAGGGCCTTTGGTGAAGTGACAGTACTTGGTTCTCTATTGCTTCAGCATCTGCTGCACTTCTCTAACCCTGGTCTTGTACTTCGAAGTCTGGGTGCCTTGACAGGGCCACAGCTTCTCACTCTGGCCCAAAGCCCTGCTGGTTCTCATGTAGTGGATGCCATCCTGACCAGCCCCTCTGTGACACGGAAGCAGCGCCGCCGTGTGCTGCAGATCCTAAAGGTTAGACTTCTGGCTTCTGCTTCATGAAAATGAGCTTCCTCAGGGTGGTATCTTAGCGTCAAGATAGCATATATAGTTCTCAGACTGTTTGACTCAGTTTGTAAGCCTTTTTGAAACTTTGTTTCCCTACCTATCAGGGACAATATGTGGCTCTGGCCTGTAGTCGCCATGGCAGCCGTGTTCTAGATGCCATCTGGAGTGGAGCAGCATTAGGGGCTCGGAAGGAAATCGCTACCGAGCTAGGTGAGTACCATCGTGTCTCTGATGTTTGCAAACTTCAGAATGCCCTTCTTTTACACCAGATAGCTGGGGAGCTTAGGAGTGGACTTATGTTCAGCAGAGGCATCAGTTCCCAAGGGTGGGCTTGGTTACTGGTCCTTAGCAGTCTGTTCTCACCTTGCTCTCTGCTGACTGTACTGTCTCTGTTGCCACCCCTCCTCCTGATTTTTCTTTGGAGAGTGAGGTGTTTATCCTAGTGGCAGGCTCAGGGTGGGGTGGAATGGGGGTCCTTCACCCCAAATAGAATCTGTCTCGAGGTGTGGGTGGTACTAATCATGAGCCATTTCTTTTGCAGGGGAGCAGAACCAGGAGCTGAGAAGAGACCCTTTTGGCCACCATGTCGCTCGAAACGTGGCCCTGACTACCTTCCTGAAGCGGCGAGAAGCCTGGGAACAGCAGCAGAGTGCAGTGGCCAAGCGGAGGCGGGCATTGCAATCAGTCCTTGAAGGCTAAGGCCTTGGGATCTGAGACTAGATGCTGACAGGGAGGGGTATGGGAGTGTCTGTCCAGTCCTCTCCTGGTTTAAGTAGGAGTGAGTCTTGATAAACATTTTTATATTTTATTGCAATTTTATTTTTAGGTGAAAAATACAAAGAAATAGAGATCTCAAGATTAAAAGTCAGAGAAGGCTGTTGTCAATGTGGTGGGGAGCTTAGGGATGAGGTGGGGGGTGTTGGTAAGGATGTAGCAGCAATTTGGGGTGGAATCGAGGTTCTTGGAGCAGGTTGTGGCCTTTGAGGGTAAGTGGAAGGTTGCAAATGTGGGTAAAGCAGGATAGGATATTAAGGGCAGAGTTCAGTTGGAGGAAAACATGTTGATTGGTTCTATCACAGTGGGGTGAGGACAGCGGGAAAGTTGGGGCTTGTTTAGTCTGCACTGCCTGCAGGTCCTAAAACTGGATGCGGTCGCAGTCTTCATAGCATGTCTCATAGAACAAGCCTGGGGACAAATGCTCAGAACCTCTTCTCAGTGGGGATGGAGGCGACCCTGACGCTGCCCGTACTCACCCCCCTCGACTACATGGCGAAGGGTGGAGGAAATTCCCAGCAGTACATGGCCAATGCCTTGCAGCAGCTTGGAGAGCCAGTGGAGGAGCTCTCTGAAAGGCAGACAAGAGGAAACAGATAATTAGGGGAAAACAGGAGTTCCCTGAGAGTGGAGTTTGTGATAAGGGAAGCTAAGTGGGGATGAGTGGGTGTAGGAGGTAAGAATTAGGGGAGCCACACACCTATAAGGAAGATTGGCTTGTATGAAATAGTGATCTCTGACCTGAGTACTTTTTTTGGACCCACTCCTTGAAAGTCACAGCTCATAGAATAGAGCCCATAGAATGTTGCTTTGACGTTTAGGCTGCCGAAGAGGTCTCGAGGATTTTGCTTGTATACATCAAAGGTGATGCGGGCAATGTCCTTACTGTGCTTTGGCTTCTCTCGGCCCAGGCCGTATGGCAGCATCCCACCCTGTAGGGCACCCATATCAGTGCACCCTCACAGTGCCACCCACCACTGATCCCCCTCAACACTGGGTCAGACCCATTGTGGACTGGGTCTGCTGCAGTGTCCTTGACAGTGCCATAGCTCTCCCAGTGCCTCTGCCCCAAGGTCAGGGTTGGGCTAGGAAGAAGCTGGGGAGAGCTGTGGAGTATTGGCAGCCTAAGCAGCTCCAGAATGGGCCTCTTACCCTAGCAGTGCTCCAACTTTGTCCAGGCTCCAGCACCATCAGGCATGTGTCATCCTCTAATAGCTGAAAGAAGTCCTCACTCTCCACAGCAGTACCATCCTCTTCTAGTACCAGTGTTAGCACTCCACTCAGCAGCAGGGTCTCCAGTGCCTGCCCAGTGGCAAGAAACAGAGGGAAGGGGCAGATGTCATAGCACTCCCCTCCGTGGCTGCCCAACATCCATTGGTCAGTCCTAGACACTAGTTGTGTACCAGCTCTACATTCTGGTGCTTTGCCATCCCATTTTAAGGTATCATTTCATAGTCCTTCAGTTCTTGGGGAACTCTCACTAGGTGTGACCAGTGAGAGAAAGTGTGTCATAGCACTAGGGATTGAATCCAGGGTATTGCATATGATAGTCAAATACTGTTACTGACCTACACCTCCAATCTCCTATGACATCATTGTCACCTTTCCCTGATCTGTAAGCTACTGCAACTGGTTTTGAATTTAAAAAAATTTTATCCAGGAGTTTGGCATGGTAGTGTATGTCTATAGTCCCAACTATTTAAAAACCTGAGGCAGGAGGATCACTTGAAATGAGGTGTTCAGGACCAGACTTGGTGACGGCAAGATTTCAGCTTAAAAAGAATAAAGCCTAGCTAGGTTATTTGGAAATGTACTTCTCTTGTCCACGATGTTCCTCTCACTTCACCCACAGTGTTCTCTATTAGTGCTGTTTAACTTGTACACTCACTAAGTTCCAGGTATTTATGAAGATTTTACATACCTGTCTTACTCATTTCACAGGAAGCAGCAGAATCAGGATTTGAATTTGGTTTTTCATACAAATAACTATTCCTGACTTCTCAATTCCATCCCTCTAGCTCTCCCTACTGCTTCCTCCTACTCCCAAAGAAAAGCCCATGATAGTGGTACCTTGGTACTTGCCATTCATTGGTTCCAGGAGGTACAAAGAGTATCAAAAATTAGTACCAAACCAATTATTTTGGCTGGGAAAAATTTATCCCATCATGCAATCAGCATGAATTGCCGTGTGCATTGAGTACCACACTGAGTACTGGGACAACGTTTTCACGTGAAAATGCACTGAATAGCAAGTTCAGTGAATTTCAGAGCAGCTGAGCACTAGGCTATGATTACTTGGAAAATAAATGAGTTTTCCCCAACACAAGAAATCACTGGGTTAACTCCCTTGCTCTTAGCCTGTGTGACCTCAGCCCTTTCTGCTCCATCATTCCAAAGTGTCAGTTGGGCCCCTTGGCCATCCCTGCTATGGGAACTGAGGAACCTGGCTCACCTTATCTAACAGTTCCTGGCGGGTGGCAGCTGTGAGGCCTTTCCGGACTGTTCGCTTGTGATCACAGACACGGAAAGGTCTCTGAGGTGGTGGAGCTGACGTCCAGACCCTACGGCCAAACTCGGAGCTTATGCTGGATACCGACCTGAAAGTTAGGAAGGAAGGAAGAGGAGTTCTGAGAGTAGGGATGGTAGGGGTGAGGTGGCGGAAGAGTTTAGGGGAGAACATTCCGGGCTTGTGAATTAGCCAACTGGATGAAGACCATGCAGAGGGGTTAGAAGGTGGACTAACCCACATAGGGGCCAGGACAGGAAATGAATGTCCTTGGGGCTGAAGGATTTGTTCCCCTGCCTGCCCCCATCCAGAGTTGGAGGGTGGAAAGAAGGACTAGGGATTACCTGAGTAGGTCTTTGGGGCTCAAGGACGGGAGGTAATCCATGGTTCAGGGAAGCAATAGCAGAGCTGCCTCTCCGTGACTTCTGCGGTGCTGGGCCTGAGATATTTTCTGTTGTGAACCTAGAGTGTCACCCTTCGTGAGATGGGAGATGAGTCAAATCCGGACTCTGGCCCCCCTTCCTGGCCAGTAAGAAGGACAAAGTCCAAGGGGAGGGAAGGAGGAGGGGCCTAGACTCAGTAGGGGTAGTGGGATTCCCCAGCAAAAGCCACTAAAGATGGGGATGAGGGGTGAAAACATTGTGAGGGTAAACAGGAGCTATGTGAAAGGATTAGAATGTGGCCTCTAGTGTCCATTTCTGTGAGGGAACTCTTCTTTTTTGGAGGCAGTTGTTAGGATCTGTTTCTGGCTCTCAACTTTCCAGCAGCTACATTGCATGTGATCTGCGTTGTTCGTGTTGCCACCTACTGGAAAAAACATAAACTGCAGCTTTCAGGAAAGGCTGTGTCCAGGGTGAGGAAACTGGCTTAGTGTGCGAAATAGGGTGGCAGCTGGGGCAAGGTCTGGAGGTGAGCTGTGAGGCAGTGCGTCCAGGTGTGGTGTGAGGACAGGCTGGACACTGGTCTCTGGATCTGCCTTGGACTGTAGCTCCTGCCTTTCTTGCTTACCTGCTCTTCTTGGTTGGAGAGGGTCTGGCTCCACATTTCTCAGGCTTCATTTGCCAGAACTTTCTGCTCAATGATACTGGAATATTCACCTTTTCTCTTTCCTTTTGCCAACATATGAATGTGAAAAAGATGTGAGTGAGTCAGGAGGTGTCCTTTGAAGGCCTCAGAACTTTATTTTTTGGTGGTACCAGGGATCAAACTCAGGACCTTGCACTTGCCAGACCAGCACTTATTCCACTGAGCCATCTCCCGGCCCAGGCCTCAGAACTTTAGTTTTTGGTATCCTAGATCTCATCTCTGACTTGAGTTGCAGCAGTGAAGCTCAGAATCACAGTGCACGCCTCAGATGTGCACCATCTTTGCTTCCTTTGCTCGTTTTCTGTATACTGAACATGAAACACAAGCCGGGTGTGGTGGCGCATACCTGTAATCCCAGCATTTGGGAGTCTAAGGCAGGAGGATTGCTGTGAGTTTGAGACCAGTCTGTTCTACAAAGTGAGCTTAAGGGCTTAAGGCCAGCCTGAGCTGCATAGTGAGACCATGTCTCAAAGATAAAAAAAAAAAAAAAAGGAAAGGAAAAGAAAGTAAATATAGAAGACCTTGACCATCCTATGACCCAGGCAGCTGTATTTGTCATGCGGGCTTGAGCACAGGAGGGACCTTGAATACTCCTGGCATTGATAACAGTGTTCATGTTGTTGACCAAAACACTGAAAGAAACTAGCCCCAGGCCTGAGCCAGATTTCTTAGACCCTCACAAAAACTCTGGCAGGAGGAAGGTAGACCATACCTTCCTCTCCCCGTTACTCACAAGGATACAATGCTGCCCATACATGGAAAGAGCTTTTTTCTTCAGAATCCCAACTGATCCTATCTGGGGATGTCTGGGACACTCCTGTGGGAGCTTCCCTGCCACCACTTGGAATCACAGCCATTATGAGTTTGGCCCATGTGGAAGGTGCTTTGTTTTAGTGGAAGCTGTTGTTCCTTAACCCCTCAAAGTACAAGGGTGAAGTATAGGGGTGTCAGTGCCTCAGTGGCAGTCCTGAAACAATGGGTATCCTCTACACTTCTTTGAAGTTTCCAGTGGCTACAATGGAACAAGCTGACACTCCTCTTGGCTTTCCTCTTTTCTCTTACTCCTCTTCCTGAGCTGAGCTGACACCCTGGGTACAAGAGTACTTACACCTTCATTTCAAGGTCTGCTTTAGAGGAACACAAACTAAAACAGTGGTTCTGGTGTTCTTGGTCCCAAGAAATCTCAGTTCTGGCTGTTGGCTGGACAGAGAGGCCTTTCTTTTCCTTTTGCCACTCTACCTTCCAGGTCTCTTTCAAGTATCTTCATGTCCAAGCTTTGTCTGAATTCTCCAAGAACAGAGGCTTCTTTTCAATGTTTGTACCCCGTACTCTTTCCTGTCTCCTTGTGCCGTGGTGTCATCTCATCATGTCATCTTATGGTTATGACAAGACTTCCCAACAAGGTCAAGAGCTCCTTTTAACTCCACACTCCTTGTTTCCCCAGGGCCTAGAACTGAGCCTTAAAAGCTGTGGGGCTGAGGACATAGCTCAGTGGCACAGCACCTGCTGGGCAAGCATGAGGTCCTGAGTTTGATTCCTGGTACAAAACAAACAAACAAACAAAAAACCACCTTACATTGACAACCTAGTGAGAGCCAGGAGAGTGGAGGGTGGAGGGCAGGGCCCAAAGCAAGAAATGGGAGAAGGTGGGCTGGGAACTAAGGAAGCCAAGGGCTTGGCAGAGCCAGGAAGCTGAGGTCAGGCACAGAGAGAGCAGTTGGAAGAGTGAATTGTTTGGGTCAACTTCTGTGCCAAATACTGGCCATGGAGCCTAGAGAACACAAGTGCTGCAGAAGGTGGATCAGAAGGACTGGAAAAGAGGGAGGAGTGACAGAAGCCCAAGTGGGGCCTAGGGTCAGCCTTCAGCAGAGTGCTCCTACTCCCCTTAATTTCTAGGGCAACTTACCCCTTCAGCGTTACCCTGTTTTCTAGGGAAGCAGGTTTCCACAGGCCTGGGCCTGTTAGTGATGAGAAGGCATCACATGAGGGAGGGGCTCCGGGAAAGGGCCAGGATGAGCCCTGTCTTGTCCTTCACTATTCTCACCTCACCCTCTGTAATAGTCACAGAAGCAGGAGCCTCACCCTCTGTGCTGCACCTTTCAGCTTTCCCAGGCCTCCTGCAGACCAACAGCACTGCCTGCTCCCAGCTGAGTAAGTAGATCTATCTGTCTGTGCCCCTTCACTGCCCACTTTTACCCTGACGTATGAAGAATAGGGCTGACCCAAGAAGAAGGGGACAGGCTAGATCCTGGTGTGAGGATTGTGGCCTGGGTACTGCTGGGCTCTGGGAAGGTGCCAGGATTGTAGGCAGTCATCTGGCAGGGAGCAGGTGCTCTGGGTTCTGAGGAGTCATGGTTGAATTGGGGCTCAGGGTCCCGGAAGACATAAAGGCTCCCAGAGAGCAAGCAGCAGGTTACAGGGAAGTGGAGGGAGGTGTAGGGAGCCTAGTCCCTTCTCACCTAGCATTGTGGCCTCGGCCCCACCCCTCCATGACCTCGGTGGCCCTTTCCAGCCCCCTGTAGGAGATGAAGGATGACCGGCTGCTACAGTCCCCCCGGGAACGAGACGCTGCTGAGCTGGAAAGCTTCACGAGCCACAGGCACTGCCTTCCTGCTGCTGGCCGCACTGCTAGGACTGCCCGGAAATGGCTTCGTGGTGTGGAGTTTAGCGGGCTGGCGTCCCGCACGGGGACGGCCGCTGGCGGCCACGCTCGTGCTGCACCTGGCGCTGGCTGACGGCGCGGTGCTGCTGCTCACCCCGCTCTTCGTGGCCTTCCTGGTGGGGCAGACCTGGCCGCTGGGCCAGGCGGGCTGCAAGGCAGTGTACTACGCGTGCGCTCTCAGCATGTACGCCAGCGTGCTGCTCACCTGCCTGCTCAGCCTGCAGCGCTGCCTCGCAGTCACCCGCCCCTTCCTGGCGCCCCGGCTGCGCAGCCCGGCCCTGGCCCGCTACCTGCTGCTGGCAGTGTGGCTGGCTGCCCTGCTACTCGCTGTCCCTGCTGCCGTCTACCGTCACCTCTGGGGCAACCGTGTGTGCCAGCTGTGCCACCCTTCACCCACCCACGCCGCTGTGCACCTGAGCCTGGAGACTCTGACGGCCTTTGTGCTTCCTTTTGGGCTAATCCTGGTCTGCTACAGCGTGACTCTGGTGCGGCTGTGGAGTGCCCGCTGGGGCTCTGGGCGGCACAGTGCACGGGTGGGTAGGCTGGTGAGCGTTATCGTGCTGGCCTTCGGCTTGCTCTGGGCCCCCTACCACGCGGTCAATCTTCTGCAAGCTATGGCTGCACTGGCTCCACCAGAAGGAGTCTTGGCGAGACTGGGCGGGGCCGGACAGGCAGCGAGGGCTGGAACCACGGCCTTGGCCTTCTTCAGCTCCAGCGTCAACCCAGTTCTTTACGTCTTCACCGCCAGGGATCTGCTGCCTCGTTCTGGTCCTCGTTTCCTCACGCGACTCTTCGAGGGCTCCTGGGAAGCCCGAGGGGGCAGCCGCTCCAGAGAAGGCACCATGGAGCTCCGAACTAATCCTCGGCTAAAAGTAGTGGAGCTGGTTGGAGGCAATGGAGACCCCGGGGTTGGCCTAAAGAGGGGCAGTCAAGAATGGGACTCTTGACACTGATCCCTGCACCGGGCCTGCTCTTCCCTAAAACTTGCCATTGCCCCTGGAATTCACCACCCTGGGGCATTTGGGGACCCTCCTCTGAATACAGCTTGGATTTGGCTGAGCAGGATTCTTTCACATTGGACAAGCCCAGATTCCTCCAAACTGAGGGATTGTGAGGGTGAATGACCTCTGTTAAAAGTATCCTGTTCCTGGAGATTGGCATGCACCCATGTGTTGCATTGCTCACCTGTTTCCAGTAGCTCTTATGAAATACACTGGGAAGCCACTAGCCGGTGGTTTAAGTGTGCTCCCTTTGGTGGTTCATCATGCTTGAGTTGTCCTGAAGCCATCTGCTTCTCAGGGTGGGACAGTACAGTGGCATCCTGACCTGTCTTCTCCAATCTGGGTGGCCTTGTTCCCCTAGATGTATCTATAGAACCACTCTGGAAATAAAAAGAGAAGGAGGAAGGAAAGGTATGGGAGTTTGGGTGGAGATAAGGATGAGATCAATTCTTTGGGGTCTATAAGAGTTTTGTGGGGGAAAGAAACTGGTTAGAAAGGAGAAGGTAAATCAATGAAATTTGAAAAGAAGTGTTCCTGCCTGTCTTGTGGTTGGTACAGTGGGAGAGAGGCACACAAGGAGTGGATAGTGGTGTAGGGGTTTGAGAGTCAAAGACTTACCTGACCACCTGACTACCCCACTCCTGGGCAAACTTTTTAAAAGTGCCCCTGGGATGAATGGGGATTGGGAATGAAGGGAGCACAGTGAATGGCCAGCATATTGGGAAAACAGGAATAATTTCTCAGGAAGGTACACATCTCTCTTCTTTCTACTAAGCTTTGCCTCTTCTCAAGACTACTTGCACCCGGGAGATGGCTCAGTAGAATAAGCGCTTCCCTGGCAAGTGCAAGGGCCTGAGTTCAATCCCTGGTTCTGGAAAAAAAAAAAAACTAAATTAAAAAAAAAAAAGACTGCTTGCTATTCATAACCCCTTCTCCAATACTTCTTAATCTTTACCTTTTGGAATCTCTTTCCTTTGTTAGACCTAAAAATTGTTCTGGATCTTGACACTTTGGATTTGGGGAGCATATTATGAGAATCTTTTCAAGGGGCATTCACAGGCACATATATAACCAAGGCATCCCATTTAGTCTAGAACTTTCTTAGATTTAGCACTGAAAACCTCTGTTAGTCTTTCAGCAGCCAGAGATAGTTGGCACCTGGATGGTTACTCTAGCCATCAACCCAGGCTCTGCTTTAGTAACTTGTTTGACTGACTGACTGTTTACGACCTCCAGGCAGAGGTAAAGAGAGAAAAGGAAACCTAGAACTCAGGGACATGCCAGGATCACCAAAACTGAGGTTGGAGGAGCTCTGAACCAAGGGATCAGGGAGTATCTTTAGAGTACCTCTTCCTGAGGATATTTTTGTTTTGTTTTAGGTACCAGGAATTGAACTCAGGACCTTGTGTTTTCTAGGCAGGTGCTTGTGCCTCTGAGCCATATCCCCAGCCCTTGAGTACCTCTTCCTGATGGAGGAAGAAAGGCCCTTTAGATAGATGAGGTGGGGAGCTGCTTGAGAAAGGAGGCGTAACCCCTCTCTTTCTGAAGCTTCAGGTTCTGGGCTTTGGGTTGATCCTGAAGCTGTAAGCTGGAATATTCTATCTCCAAATGAAGGTTTTTTTTCCTGGTCTGGTGCTTGGGGCAAAGGTTCACTGGCTTACTCTGTGACACATTCCCCAGCTTACACACCCAGACAGTCAGAAAGTCCTTCCTCAACTACCCTTCAATTCTTGCTGCGGTTTCACCCCATTTCTTTTCATCATATCCTCTGCCTGACAGTTACTGGGTCAACTCTGCTCTGGTTTTTCTCAACTTGGAGCAAGTGGAGGAGCTGGAAAGTGTAAAGGACTTCAGTGGCCACCATTATGCCCTGCATCTTTCCTGTGAAGTGACAGGATTGAAAGAAGCAGGAAGGCTTATGGTAGACTGGAGGAAGAGATTCTTAGTTCTTAGCTTCCACAGGAGACTTCAAGGAAAAAAGACATCCTTCCACACATGGAGACAGAGGAAAAGATATCCTTCCATGCAGGGAGGCAGAGAAAAAAGACATCCTTCCATGCAGAGAGGCTTCTTTTCTTTCCACACTCCTGGATTCTTGGTAGGAAGTGTCACTGCCCATCCCCCTCACTTCTCCTCATGCTCAGCTCAGCCTCCACTTCCTTTGTCTGTCAGAGGTGGAGCTGGACCACCTAAGGCTGTGAGATGTAGGTGCTGATCTGCTTGCCTGGCACTCAGTGCCTAGATCTAAACTCAGCAGGGTAACTACATGGGCAAGCACAAGGTGAGTGGGTGGGAGAAAGTGAAGGCATTGGTATTCTGTGTGGTGTTCCAGCCACTTAAGACACTGGCTTCTACAAAAGAGAATGGAGAACAAGTTGCTTTGGAGAACCAATCTTTTTAGGTATAGTAGGGAGAGGAGGTGCAAAGAGATGCCCTCCTCCCCTGCAACCCTGATGGTGGTTTGAACCGAAGCCAAGAGTAAGGTGCTGTCCCTTTTGGTTTACTGACATGCGCTTTTTAAATCATGATGTTATCTACCCTACACCCTGACCCAGAACCTAGTTACAACTTCAATTTACATTTCCCATTAATCTAAAGATCTATGGTATACACACATTTTTATGTAAAATATAAAGAAAAAATAGTTTTGGATATACCAGTATTCTAGGCTCTCATTTTATGCCCTCCAGGTTCTTTTCCTCTTTCTCCCATGATGCAATTCATTACTTTGTTCATTTTTCCAGTCTACACCTGCATCTTGAGACCACGCCCCAGCCAACTCACTCTCCACACCCCTCTTCCCTCTCATTGCTCCTTCCAAGGCTTTCTCATTTGGCCCCACCCGGTGGGGCTGCCTGGAACAGAAAGACTAGCCCCCTCCTAGTGAAGGAGGAGTGGGGGTTTCAGCCCCACCCTTAGCAAGATGCCACTTCCCCCTCTCCTGCTCTGTGAAACTTCCTCTCTGTCCAACTTAGCTGACAGCACCCAGACCCAGGGCCAACCCCCTGGCACTGGGACAGATCAAGTGATCAGCTATACCACCTAGCCCTGACCTGAGATTGCCACCAGCTTCCAACCGGTGTCTGGCAAAACTTGTAAGTACTGTAGGGGTGGAGATGATGGTGGGGGAGGGACCAGGTACAGCTATGAAAGAAGGTGCCAAAGAATCTCCAAAGAAACCATAACCACTATAAAGGAATTGTGAGGATTTGCCCTCAGAGCCTGTCCAGTAACTTCTCCCAATGCTTTTATTCCTGGCCCTCCCTGATATCCTTGGGGAGAGTGGGTGGGTGCTGGGAAGAAGTCAGTGGGACCAAGGGACTAAAGGCTGGAACAGAGGAGTGAACCTTTCACAGGGTGTACCTTTGGTGAGTGAAGTCTCCCAATCTGCTTCTGGGTTTGGGGTCTTTACTTAAGGGAAGGAGGTTGGAAAGATCTGTAAATGTTGTTGCTGCCGCTACTGCTTCTGTTGTTACGGCTGCTGCTGGATATTTTGCAATTAGGTCTGTGGTCAGGAAGGGGCCCCACGGCCCAGTTAGGAAACTATCTTTGTACTCAACTAGATCCCCCCTGGGGGGGTATTGAACAAGGGACTTTACATTGAACAACATCCCCAGCACTTTTTTATTTTTTATTTTGAGACAGGGTCTCACTAAGTTCGTTACCTAGACCGGACATTAACTTGTGATCCTCCCAGCACTTCGGCTTCCCAGGTTGCTGGCATTTCAGGCATGTGCCACATGCCAGGTCCAGGCTGCCTTAAGACAGATCAGTTGGCAGTGGTGGGGGTAATATATTTTGGAGAGGCCTCCGGTGCTTCTAAGGTTGGAAATAATCCGGAGTACTCAGGCTAGGTGTACCCAGGGCTTTGGCTTCTACTCTCATACATGTCCACCCTCACTCTCCAGGTCCTTGTGATGGACACGAACACTACAAGCCGTCCAGGCCCCTCCTCAGGAGGTGCCACCTTCATACCTCTGTTGGCTATGATCCTATTGTCTGTGTCGATGGCTGTGGGGCTTCCAGGCAACACCTTTGTAGTGTGGAGCATCCTGAAAAGGATGCGGAAGCGGTCTGTCACTGCCCTGATGGTGCTGAACCTGGCCCTGGCTGACTTGGCCGTGTTGCTCACCGCTCCCTTTTTCCTGCACTTCCTGGCCCGGCGCGCCTGGAGCTTTAAACTGGCTGGCTGCCGCCTGTGCCACTACATCTGTGGAGTCAGCATGTACGCCAGCATCCTGCTCATCACAGCCATGAGTCTGGACCGCTCCCTGGCGGTGGCCAGTCCCTTTCTGTCCCAGAAGGTGCGCACCAAGGCAGCTGCCCGGTGGCTACTGGCAGGCATCTGGGTGGCATCCTTCCTGCTGGCCACACCAGTCCTAGCGTTCCGAACGGTGCAGGTGCTCAAGGAGGTGGAGGTGTGCGTCCCGAACTATCCCAGCGACAGGCACAAGGCCTTTCACATGTTCTTTGAGGCCTTCACAGGATTTGTGGTGCCCTTCCTGGTCGTGGTGGGCAGTTACTCCGACATCAGCCGTAGGCTGCGCCTGCGCCGCTTCCGCCGCAGCCGCCGCACCGGCCGCCTGGTGGCGCTCATCATCCTGGCCTTCGCGGCTTTCTGGCTGCCCTACCACGTGGTGGGCCTGATCGAGGGAAGCCGCGCGCTGGCCGGGACGCTAGACCAGTCCCTGCCAGAGCTGACAAAAGCCCGCCACGTTTGCATTGCGCTGGCCTTCCTGAGCAGCAGCGTGAATCCGCTGCTGTACGCGTGCGCTGGCGGCAGCCTCCTGCGCTCGGCTGGCGTGGGCTTTGTGGCCAAGCTGCTGGAGGCTACGGGCTCTGAAGCGTACAGCACCCGCCGCGGGGGCACCCTGGCCCAGACTGTGAAGGGTCCTCCCATGTCTCCAGAAACTGGCACCGGTGAAAGCCTCGACGCTCTCAAGCAAAGCGAATCAGACTAGGTCTGGTGGAAGGACACTCAATTTCCTCCTCGTGGAATGCCCCGCGCTTTTTGACCTAATTCAATTCTGTACGGGGAGGAGAATGGATGTGCAGAGGTGGGTGGAGAAGAAGAGGAGTGGGAAAAATTAGGGAAGAGAGAGACAGAGACAGAGAGACAGAGACAGACAGGAGACAGAGACACACACAGACAGAGGGACAGGACAGGATGGAGGAAGGGAGGGAGAGAGAGGAGAGAGGAAAGAGAGAGAAGAGAGAGAGAGAAAAAAAGGGGGGAGAGAATATGACTATGAATATGTTAGTTCAGGCAGCCTTTCAATTAAAACCAAAGTGTAAAATCTATCACCTCTGAGTGGGGCATGTATGTTATGGGGCCTTGGCCTGGTGGGGTTGAGAGGTATGGCCTTTAGTTTGGTATGATGTACAGTTTTTAAAGGATCACAAAAGTTGACACAGACCCCCGCCCCCTGCCCACATGATTTGGATGGAGGTAGACGATCTCTGCAGGTTTCACTTAGAAAAATTCTATAGGCTTTTATGGGCGTCTGCAGTTGTCAGGGAAGACCATGCATGTGGGCTCATTACTCCAGACTGGTGTCCCAGGAAACCTGCTGAGGAGACAGCTCTACTGCAAATTGTCTTCCCGGAAACCTGCAGTATGAAGCACTGTTAGATGACTCCAGCTTCCTGCCTGTAATTTTCACTGTGTCAGCAGCAGATGTTCTAGGGCAGTGATGGTAAACCTTTTAGAGCTTTCAATAGTACAAACAGCCCACTGTGGCACTCATGCCATAGGTTTGCCACCACTGCTCTAGGGGATTTCCTTTCTTTGCTCCATTTCCCACGGAGGGCTCACAGAAGACCCAAGTCATAGGATCTAATCTCCTAGAATTGTGACATCAGCATCCGCCAGCCTTCACCACATACCCTGGCACAGGGTGGGGGGTGAGGGTCCCCTGTGGCCACGGTAACCCCAGGAAACAAAGATTCCTGAAAGTGAGAGGGTTGAGTCATTCATTCCTAGGTAGGTTTGTGTCAGAGAACCTTTGTCCAGATTTGTTCTGACATCTCAGGAAGATGGCAGCAGTAGTGGCCGTAAAGTACTGTTTGGATGTTTTCCATAAAAAAAGAAAAGTAATAGAAACTAGGACAGCAAGCCCCCAAAAGTCCTTGTGTAACTTTTACAGTAAACCTAGCATATCAAGATATTGCCCATGTACCCCAAAGAGCAGCCAAAAAGAAGATCAATGTTTCAAGACCCATACACTGTATTACCATCTGCACAAGAGGAACAGAAGCAGGGCAGGCTCTCTGACGGGCCTGAGAACAAGGAAGCCTCAAAGTTTTCTACAAATCTTTACTAGAAAGCCTAGTGGGCCAATCCGAGTACAGCAATAGAATCAGTTTATTTCCCAGGCCACTCACTCATTCTCTTACGCAAGCACATAATAGGTAGTTATGTGGTGTTCAAATGAATACAAGTCAAATGACATTTCTGGAGATTTCTTCCAATATTTGAAGCTTGGTGTGAGGAAAAGACAAATCCTTGTTTTCAGTTATATGTCTACAATTCTGTATGATTCTATGGTATGCAACATACTGGAATCAAGTTAGGAGGTAGATAAAGAGGCTCAGGCAGTCCAGTCCTAAGCTTGTGAAAAGAATTGCTCCCAATACACTCAGGTGAGCACATGCACATGTGCGTGCACACACACACACACACACACACACACACACACACACATTCAGATTGACCTGGGAATAAATCATCCTGCTGAGGGGCAAGGTGATAATGATTCCCAGCTACATCAGCAGCTTCCGACATCAGTTAGCTCCAGACAACCTAGCAGCTCTTAGAAGGGGTGGGGGTCTCAGCTTAGAGTGGCTGAGGGAGGTCCAGTTCGTATCAGGTCTGTGTTCAGGAAGTAGGTGCAGAGCTGTCCTTTGCCTTTGACCTTGATGACACCTCGACTGTAACACGTATAGCCCAGGGACTGCAGGGCTTGGGCTGTTTCCTCAGTTACCTGCAACTGGAAGGTTGTAATGGTGTATGGTGATGGCCCTATCCTTATCCCCTTCCCCCATTCCTCCAGGGTAGCTCCGTCACCTGGATCTTGCCAAGGACTCCTGTGCTCTCCATGCGGCTGGCCACATTCACTGTGTTGCCCCATATATCATATTGTGGCTTCTGAGCCCCAATCACTCCAGCCACCACTGGTCCATGGTTCAACCCTGATAAAGGATGTGATGAAGAAGACCCTTATAAGAGGAAGTTAGAAGAGGAAGTGGGGAAGAGGAAGTGAAATGAAGTGGAGGGAAGGGAAGGTCAATGGGGCCTTAAAGGAGGAGGGTCCCTGGAGCGGAGGAATGTGGCTAGGGAAGGGAAGGAATTAAGCTTTTAGCTGTTGGCCCATCAGTTTCATGCTTCATGCAGATGAGTAAGTCTGGAGAGGGGGTGCAGGGATGATCTTGGGAGCAGCTTACAAGGGGCTTGAGTGGGGAAACTGTGGGAAAACCAGCTATCACATTGCCTTGGTATGGAGGGGGACTCACCCACACGCAGTCGGAAGTTGTTGAATGAGTGCTTGTTGATGACATCCAGCTTTGACCCCAGGGCCACTGCAAATTCCACCATGGTGCCAAGGTGGCTGCAGCTTCGCTCAGCATCCTGGTGAAGGTCCCGCCCCCAGGATGGGCCAGTGAGGGCACAAGAATGAGTCCTACTTGTGAGTCCACCAATGACAGTATGGAGAGGGATGATGAGGGAGGGAATTGTACCTGTTGTGTATCTTGTCCGGAGGTGGCATTTAAGCCCGTGGCTGCCATGTAGGTGCTACCAATGGTTTTGATCTTCTCTACTCCACTGAACTTTGGCTTGGAGAGCAGCTGTACAGAGAAGAGGAGGCTTTGTCCCCAGTGTCTCAGCTGCCCTTCCTTTCCCTCACCCAGAAGCTCAGCCTGAGGCTTTAGAAGGCTAAAGAACAAGGCTTTGGGGCTGAAGCTGGCAATGGGAAGCAGGGAGCTGGCAGTGGGCAGTGTTGTTGGAAAGTGGGGGTGGGGCATCAGAGGAGCAGTGGGAAATCTGGGATGATACTGGTGGTGGTGGATAGGAATGGCTTCTTGGACAGGAGAGTAAAGTGGAAAGGGGCACTGGTGGGAAATTCTAGAGTCCAGGACTTAGGGTCTGGGGTACCCTTGGAATTGTCACCTCATCAAAATCAGCAATTATCTCATTGAGCAGCCGCAGACATTCTAGCCCTTCATGATTGATGTTGGATTCAGAATAAAACTCCTTGAAGTCTGGGACTGACGCAAACAGCACACAAACACACTCATAGGACTGATGGTAGAGGTCCTGGGGGAGGAAGGGACACAGGAAGGGCCACTTGTCATCTGTTCACATTTCAGAGGCCTTCCTCCTGTATCCCCATTCCTAGTTTCTTTGTTCAAGAAGGATTTGGAAAGAAGGGAGAGGGGTTGGACCTGGTTACTCCAGAGATATGATTCAGGGATAGATGATTTAAAGTGTGGGGTCATTGTGACTTCAAGAAGAAAAGAGATTTGGGATCAGGATCACCTCACAGCTAAATGAAGGGACTCATTCCTGGAGTTGGGATCATATGAGTGGGAATTATTTTTATATCCTCTCATTGCTTAAATGTGTCATATCAGCTCAGTTTGTAAAGATAGGAATATAAGTTAAAGCAACAATAGGGAGTATGTATGGGACCAAGAGAAAATAAGGACAACAGGATAATCAGATCTGAGGGTGTTCACACAATGGGTGCCACAAAGTCTTTGTGAGTCCTGGATTCTGGATATAAACTTTCTAACGGCCAATGTGAACAGAGAAACAGGATCAGTTATAAGAGAAGTAACTAGAAGTAAACAGAACTGAGAAGAGACAAGAGGGTCATAAGGCTGTGAAATAGCTCCTGAAATCTTAGTATAAGACAAAAGCATTTCCATAGTAAACAGGGTCAGGTAGTGGTGGTACAAAAAGATGGTGCAACTATGTGGGTACATATCTGCCTGTGACCTTTTTGAGTGACTCACTATGGCCAGATTTTTGAGGTTCTAGAGTAGCATTGTCCAACAGAAACTTCTGCAATGGTGGAAATGGTCTATTCAGATGCACTGCTAGATACTGTGGACACTAGACACATTTGGATGTGTGTTGGAAATGCAGTCAGTACTGGAGATTGGACCCAGGGCCTTCACACTGAGCTACATCCCCAGTAGTTTTTATATATATATTTTTTGAGACAGGGTCTCACACAGTTGTTAAGTTGTCCAGGCTGGGTTCCAACTTGCAACCCTCCAGGCTCAGTCTCCTGGAATGCCAAAGTTACAGGCATGCACCACCACACTCAGGTGAATTTTAAGACTTTAGTTAATTTAAACTTAATTTGGAGTGGTCACATGTGGTTAATGGCTAGCACATTGGATAGTGCAGGTCTAGGGAGAAAGATAGACTGCATCTTTTCTGTTTGCTTTTGTTTTTTGAGACAGGGTCTCGCTACTACTTTAGACTGGCCTTGAGCTCACTATGTACCCCAGGTTGGCCTCAAACTCAAGGCGATCCCCCTGCCTCAGCCTTCTAAGTGCTGGGATTTCAGCATGGGCTATTATGCCTGGCTGGTAGACTGTATCTTGCAGAAAACTCCATCAGCACTGACCAAGCTTCTGAAAGATGTGAAATAGTCATGAGTTGGAGAAAAAAACCTTTTCTTCCATGTAAGAATCTGCAATGCAGACATTCTATACTCACTAAAGACAGAGTCTAAAATCTGGTAAAGCATCTGACAGGGGCAAGGACTTCAGTGGCAGCCTGACCCACTCCCTGGTGTGGAGTCCAGAGAGGATGAGCTAAGGGCCATGACTTTCACACAAATGTCTTCCCTGGGCCAGCCAAATAGCTCAGCAGATTAAAGCGCCTGCAAGCAGGCCCAGGGGCCAGGGGTTGAATCCCCAGGCCTGCTGTGCTGGCCCCACCCTTGGGGCATGCTGAGGAGGCAATTGAGGCTGGGCGTGGTGGTATGCACCTGTAACCCCAGCTCTTTGGGAGGCTGTAAACAGGTGGACCACTACGAGTCCAATCTAGTAATGAGACCCTGAACACCCTTCCTTAAAATTAAAAAAAAAAAAATGTTCCTATGGCACCTGGGGATCAGGGCCCAAGTCTCAGGAGTCACCTCATTGCGCCGGTTCTGGCCAATGAACTGCGGGGCCACATGCGCAGGAAGCACATTCTCCAAGAGCAGCCGAGTCAGGTTCTCCATCGTCTCTGTCTCCTCCCGCTCCTGTCTCAGTTTCTTCTTCCACAGGAAGTCCAAGCGGCAGTAATACTCATTCTGTGAGGGCCATGGAGAGAAAGCACAGGAAGCCCCAGCTCCTGTTTGTACCCCTACTGCATAATGTCTGATTTTTCAGTTTTTTTCTTCCTTTGTTTGTTTGTTTTGATTTTTTTAAGTACCAGGGACCAAAATTGGGACCTTGTGCTTGCCAAGCAGGTGCTTATGCATCTGAGCTATCTCCCCGGGCCTACATAATGTCTGAACACTCTCTATACCCAGCTTGGAGAAAAGGCTTCAGGATCTGCAAAGTAGCAAGCTAGATTCAAAGTGGGGTGTATAGAACTGGCAGCAGAATTTTATTTAAGCATGGCTTTCTCAGATTTGGCGATAGGAGGATAGTTAGGCAGATAGGGAGTGATGAGCAAGAAAGAGAGCCGCAGGGCTTGCTTAGAAGTTTCGGGTAGGCACACCATTTGAATTCAGTAAGGGTGAGGAGAAAGACCAAGTCACCAATAGGGGTGCCAGCTCCACCATTCACAGGAAGGCCCTGTGGGGCTGAGCCTCGTGGCTTACCTGCCGCGCCAGGACAAGGAGGGTGAAGAAGAAGATGAAGAAGGAGATAGCTCCCATCAACTTCGGTTCCTTCAGGACTCCTGGTCTGAAGGGGCCACAGCTCAGAGTTGGCCTTTGCTCTGTCCCTTCCTGCTGGCCTCTACTCTGCCCCTAGTGCACAGGGAGCCCTCCCCTCCCCTCCTCTTCCTCCCTTCTGTCTAGCAGACACATACCTGGAGTCCAAGTGGCCTAGGTAAAGGTGGGCGATGAGGCAGTCTGACAGCCAGGCGTGGGAGTGCAGGAAGATGGAGCAGGAAGCAGCCAGCCACAGCAGGAGCAGCACCAGCTTCAGTTCAAAGCTCATGTGCAGAAAGAGGGAACAGGAGAGGAAACCCAGCACGCAGCAGTGCATGGAGTACTGTGGGGGGTTGGCAAGAGGTCAGGAGGGAACATGTCCCATAGGCAGGGGTGGGGGATACCTGTGAGCTCCCACGGTGTCCCTCCCAGATACCTGGGCTTGTCTGAAGACAGGGGACATCATCCACACAAACACACACTGCATGTGATTTGTGTCTGTCCCAGTACACACGATGCAATGTTTTTCAACTTGAGGGAGGGCACTGAGGACAGGTCTCTGGGAGGACATCTGGGGCTGTGAGGGATACTTACAGGGACACTGATAAGAGGCAGTGACCCAGGTAGCTCCCAGGACAGGTTGAGATCCATGGAGGACACAGTGGGAGCTTGGAAAGGGCAGTCTGCTGATGCTGGTAAGAAGAACTGCAGAAGGAGATGTGAGGCTGAGGAGGCACAGGCAGCTCCTGGGTGCCCCGGTGGCTTTAGCTGGGTTTCAGCTGACCTAGGGATGAGTTCGGGCCAGACTCCTATAGAGGGGTAGATTCTGCTACTTGTGGTTGGTGAGGGAGCCCCAGCCTGAATCCCCACTGGGGAGAAGGACTGTGGGATGATGCCCTCAGCACGAGTCTGCCCTGGGTCTACTGAATCTTGCCAGCCACTTAATCTCTCTGGGCTTTAGCTTCCCCTTCTGCCTGGGGATAATTCCAGGTAGCTCTCAGGGACAAAATTCTAGGAATGATTATGCATTCTGTTAAAATCAGCCAAGGAAGCTAAGTAGCAAATATTGGCCTCCATAGGAAAGAGACGGGAAGCACATCCACCACAATGTTATTAACAGTGACTCTGCAGATGACAGGTTGTGGGAGACCTTTTTCTTTCTATGTGTACAATATTCCCACATATTCCCAACTCCCTTGGCCTGAATAGAGCTTCCCTCCCAGATCCATAGATCCCCTCTTAGTCCCCACAGGTCCAGTGTGCCCTGATAAGATGGCTAGGATCCCCTTTACCCTCACCAGGCTAGCAACAGCCATGGTGAAGATGAGGAGGATGGTGGCAATGCCCAGGGCTACTCGAAGTCCAGGCTGTGTGGTCACTAGACCTGACAGTGCAGGGAGCCAGTGCAGCAGCTTGGGACCTTTCTGGATACACCACTGTGGAGGAAACACAGTGCAGTGTCTTAGCTATGGGCCGAGGGGCCTCCATCAGCCCAGGTCATGGTCAGGGCCCCGTTCACCACTTCTACCTCCCAACCCACCTTACCGTTAGGTGCTCTGAGAAGCAGATGAAGAGAAGGAGAAGGAAGAGGAGGAAAGTGATGCTGTAAGTAAGGGCCAGAGCTGGGGGCCTGTGAAAAACAGGGGGGAGGTTGTGAGGAGCCAGAACAGGGTGTTCTGTGAGGGTACCATGCTATCTGGGTAGGAGCTGCCAGGAGGAAGTGACCAGGGGTCCCAGGTTAGCTGCTAATTTGATCAGTCCAAGCTGATCAAATACATTGTATTCTGATGGTTTCAGAGAGCTGAAGAGAAGTATTTGGATAGATCAGAAACCAATAAAGTGGGGACATCACTGAAGTCTCACAAGAGTGGCTAAGGCTGCACTAGACCAATCTCTGGGCTAAAGCTCTTTAACTCAGCTGAGTTTTGAAATAGACCTTACCAGAAGAGCTGGGAATAAGGACCTATTCTAAGCCCATTTGGACCTCTCTGGGAGCACAAGCTCCCAGAGGGGATATTGTTACACCAAAAGAAGCAGGCATATACAAGTGCACAACAATATTAAGAAGAAGGCTGGGTCTGTAGAACACGCCTCCTCTGTGGAGGAGTGCCTGAAGCTAAGGGGAAGGGCAAAGTAAGACAGAGTGGGTCAGGGCCAGAAAGGGCAAGGGGATCTGTGGAGGAGAGCTGGGGCCTACTTGCCTGTGTGCCCTTACCTGTTTGTCACCAGCATTTGGATGATGAAGTTGGACAGAAAAACCAAGAAGGCACAGGCTGTATAATATTTGAAGGTAGGGAGTGCAGAGAACCGATACTAGGAAGGAAAGGGTAGGCAGAGAGAGGCCGTGTGCTCTACTCACTGCCCTAAATGTGTCAAGCCGAGGGAAGTGGTGGGTTCCCCAGCCTCACAGCCCCACCCTTCACAGTTCTCTGTATTCCCTACCAGTTCTCCAAGGAGTTCACCCTGTTTACCACCACCAACTCAATCTATGGGATGACTTTCCTGTCTCTCTGAAAGAGACCCAAGGCTTTTGCTCCAAGGTCAAAAATTGAGCAGACCAGGGAAGGGAAAGGGCATATAAGGCTTGACCCCTCTCCAAGGCCTAGGAACTGAAATTGAGAAATCCTTTTGTGTTTCCCCCCACTCCAGCCCACCTGTTTCTCCATCTCCTTCTGTCTGAAGTACAGTGTCAGTAAGTTGAAGTCCTTTGATTGCTTCCACTGTCTGGTGAGAGGTGGTGGGTGGGAACACCAGAGAGGCCCCGGAGGGACAGGTCAGCACAGGAGGAGGCCAGAGAAAGGACAGGAGGAGGGACTAGGTGGGTCTTCCCTCTAGAACAGCCCTTTGCTTCCCTCCCAGCCCTTGGAGGAGCATCACCCCTCCCCCACCATGACTCCTTAGGGCCTCCTGGCCTCCTGGACCTCTTTGCTTTCCGTACTTCTGAGAGTTGAGCTGTTCGATGACCTGGAAGAACTTGGCATCCCCAGTGTCCAGCTCATCATCTAGTCCTCGGGGGGTCCGGCTCCTGCTCAGTGACAAACAAGCCTATCACCAAGGGGACCCTCAAAAGCATCTGAGCAAGCAGAGCAGTCCCCCAGGAAGGAAAGAGACAGGTCACCCAGTCAGCACCTCTATCAGAGTGGCTCCTATTTTCTTACCGGTCCAGGCTCCACTGAGGACTGAAGGAAGCCAGGGCCTTCTCCTGTTGGGAGAGCACATGGGGGAGAGGACAGTGAGAGTTACCGCACAGTGAGGCAACCATGTGCTGTACATCATGGTCTGCATCTGGCTCTTTCTTCTGCTTCTTTTAATTTTTAATTTTTGATACAGTGTCTCACAATACAGTTCAACTCATAGTAATCTTCCTGTCTTAGTCTATCCCCAGTGCTGAGTGCACCACCATGTCTGGTTCTGGGGCTGGCACGGCATGTGGTGCTGGGGATTGAACTTGAGACCTTGCACTTATGAGGCAGGTGCTTATGCCACTGAGCTATCTCCTCAGCCCCTATTTCTTCTGCTTCTGATGATTTTTCTCTACTCCCCTGCAACCTCATCTGTCCTTGAATTGGAAATTCAAACCCTGTTTCTTCCTAGTTTTAGAGACTCCCAGGGTCTTTCTACCCTTTACTTCTTCATTGCTTCCATCACTTAACTGGAGTCCCTCTGTCTTCTCTATGCTTCTACATGCTGTGTCCCATCTTCCCTGAAGGTTGCACAAGTTGGATGTGAGGATGATCTGTGACATGTCACCCCATTGGTTGCCAGCATTGATCCAGCTCATCTGGATGCCCCAGCAGGTGTCTCCTTCTTCCCTTACTGCTCCATGTTTGTCCCTCCTGAAGTTGACAGTTGAAGAGGAAAACCTTCACTGATGGAGAAGGACCATTTCCTTGGTCAAGAGTGTACAAGTAGCTACGCTAGAACCTCCAAACTCTCAAGATTTTACAAAGTCCAAAGACAAGGCCTTTCCCATCACCCTTGGATGCCCAAAGGTCAGGTTTAAATTGAAGTGACAATCAGAATATTCTGACTCCCCTCTGACCTTTAATGAGGTCAGCCATGCTGAGCTGAGAGGTGGCAGGGTAGCTAAGAAAGGACAGAGAAGAAAGAAAGGGAGGGAAATCAATATGCTTAGTCATTCTGTTCTTCACCCCTTAGAAATGCACAGCCAAACAGCAATGAGAAGCAAACCGATTGCTGCAGGAGAGTGAAGTTCTGAGGACCATAAGCCAGAGGGGTGCCGGCCATTTCTCCTCAAACTACCTACTGTTCCCTCACTGCCTAAGTTGAAGGCAGAGAAAACATTTTATTTCTGCCTTCTCAAGAAGTAGTCTAGTGTTTGCCATAAAGTAAGATGCTCAAAAAATGGGAAGGGGTGCTAGGGTGCTGGGGATACAGTTCAAGGGTAGAACACTTGCCCAATATGCATGAGGCCCTAGGTTTGATCCCCGGCACTGAAAAAAAAAAAAAAAAGTGGAGGAGATGGATGGGTGAATGGTACCCACCAGTACAAACACTGCTCTCCTACTCCTAAGTTCCACATCATTTAAGAGGAGGTTGACGGTGATTCTCAGGATTTCATTTGAGTCCCTAGAAGAATTCATGAGCTGCTGAGGTCCTGATTCAGGAGATACCTTTGAACAGGGGTGACTGCTCCTCCTGCCTGATGCTTCCAGGCCTGTACACGGTGGAGAGTGGCAGGACCTCTGGCATGGGCTCTGGTAGGTGCTCCTATCACAGGACTTGCTCCCAAGGTCACCTCACAGAGCTTGCAGTCTCGGAGTTTTTAGCAACCCCACCCCCATCCTGGAGAGCTCATCCTGCAGCAGTCAGCAGGGCCTTGGATTCTTCCTTCCTCTCCCTCCTGCCAGTTTAACCCTCAGTCCTCCCCTGCATCACCACTGCTAGTGTCACCTCACTGTTTGCTTATCTCTGGCCTTCTTTCTTCCTAGATAGGAACGGAGGGGGATGGAACACAGAAAGAGTACTGTGAGACACCCCTTCAGTCTCAGTGATCTATCCAGTCAAGAAGACTGGGAAGACTTGCAGAAAGGTGATTTGGCTTGAACAGATTTCAGGAAGGGTGAGTAAGATGGTGGACAACCAGCTGAGGGGACAGGACCTTATTAACCCTATGCATATCTTTAGGAACATGACCTGGGCCCCTGCATGAGGCAACTCTAGCAGTTCATCACTGAGCATAAACTCAAAGAGCCTGCTTGGGCACAGATCCTCCACCAGCTAGGGGTCACTGTGTGCATTGTGGTACTACGCATAGGATTTGACAGTGACTGAATTTACTAACCTAGATTCACGTAAACAAGGGCTAGCCTCCCCTCCATCCAGTCTGCTAATGGTGGCTTCCTTTTGCATGTGTGATTCTTACTCATATCACACTACCCATGCATAAATGCTGAGTGGGGGCAACAATGTCCTTTTCTCCTCTTTCCATTTTCCCAATTCTAATGGGGATTAAAAGAAAGCATGCATTTATAGGAACTGAATTAAAGACATTTCCTGGTAGCATGGGTATGCAGCACTGGAATCAGAATGAGGACGTGGAGTCTACTACTTTTGGGGTGTCAGGAAAGGGGAGATTGAGGTGCAATGGACATTCTATCTACAGGGATCCTGCATCTTCTCTGAGGTGAGTACAGAGAGTAGTGAGCTTTGCTTTTTTCTGCAAGGAAAGGCACAGAGGAGGCTAAACTAGCACCTGGGGTGGCCAGACAGTTCAGGACCTTGTCAGTACACTTGTGACTCACTGGTGAGGAGTAGGGGAAGCTGAGAGTGGAGCCCGAGGACAAGGAGGGTCAGTTTACTCTGAGTGTGGGCATTCATAATAGCAGTTCACATACCGGGAGAGGAGTTGAGGTGGACACAGGGCTGTCTATGTGGCTCAGGTGGGCGAAAGGCTTGGCTGCACCCCAGGACTCCAGGTAGCGGGTCATCAGCAGTGATGGGCGCATTGTGTGGCCCTCCAGAGAGAACAGTAAGCCTCCTGTGGTGCCCTTCTCATCCTCTTCCTCAGCCTGAGGCATATGAAGTCTGAGAATAAAGGTTGTGTGCTTCTGCTTTCCCCCTACATCCCTGAGAGGCTTGTGCCTCTCGCTTGCTCACTAGGACCCAAGAACTCAAACTCTAGCATAGCAGATGTGATGAGGCCTGCTGACATGGGTGGTTTGTATGGGTCAGTCTGTCTGGTCCAGGCTGGGCTTTTACCCGAGGATCAATGACCAGGTACGTAGGCTCCCCCAGCTCCCGAAGGTATGGGTCTCGTTGTTCCATGGCTGCATCCTCCACAGCATAGGCCCCTGCCAACAGGGCCAGGGTAGCCCCTGTGATATGCACTCGCCTAGAGGGGGACAGTGGGAGTCAGCAGAGAGGCACTCCAGACCCTCATTTCTTTCGAAGAGCACTGCTTGTAGTGTGACTTAAGAAAAGGTCTATATTACAGGAGGTGCCTCCCAGCTACCCTCCCTGCACCCTAGAATCTCCCTGAGCCCCACACAGGGCTGCACTAATCTTAAGTAACTACGAAAAGGGTGGTAGCTGGTGGGAGGCCTGGGGCCCCAGATCTCACCCTGGCACACCGCTCGCCTCCATGTGGTTGGCCCGTGTGACATCATGGGACCAGACATCATACTGCCACTTCTGCAGCCCAATGACTCCACAAAGCACGCTGCCAGAGTGCACACCCACACGCATGTTGATATCCACGCCTGTGGCTGCCCGCAGTTTCCTAAGCACAGTGTGCGGAGGGCAAGCTGAGTCCTGCTTTAAGCCCTGTGCGTAAGGCAGGCTTCCTCCTCTCAAGGAGGCTTCTATCACCCACCTGCCCTCCTCCACATCCATCCATCCATTCCCACAGAAGCTGACCTGATGGCACGGCACATGTCCAGCCCCATGCGCACGCAGTTGATGGCATGGTCTGGCAATGAGAGCGGCAGTCCAGAGACACAGTAGTAGCAGTCTCCCAGGATTTTGATCCGCATGCATTCGTGCTCCTGGGAGTGTGTGTGTGGGTGTGTAGAGGAACCTGGTTAGAAGCCAGAGAGGTAGGAGGGAGTTGGGAAAAGAGGGGAGCAAGAGTGGTACTCCTGAAGGACTTCCAAGGTTGAGACATAGTGAGCTTTGCCTTTCTCTGCAAGGAAGGGCAGAGAGGAGGCTGAACTAGTTCCTGGGGTGGGACAGTTCAAATACTTGGGATGTCACAAGTACTCTGGTGACTCACTGGTGAGGAATAGGAGAAGGTGAGAGTGGAGCCCGAGGACAAGGAGGGTTGGTTTATTCTGAGTGTGGGCGTTCATAATAGGGTCAGATCTAGGGACTCCCTTAATTTGGTATGGGACTACTGAAGTGTCTCCTAAGGATATGTTCTCAGAAGAGATTCCCAAGGGCTGGGGTATCCGTGGCTCTCCCCAGTTTTGGCACATGTATATTGTACACAGACTGGAAGTAGTCTAGGACTAAAGGACCTGAAGGAGGATCCCAAAAGGGGTTGTACCCCTGGGGTTTGAGTAGGTGCTGAGCTGTATTTACAGAAGGAAGAAATTTCTCATGGAAGAGCCTCTCCAGGTTGGAACACCTGTTTATGACTGAAGATTTTGGATGCAACATCTTGAGACACCTGTGCTGGAGCATTTTTAGGGGCACCATAGTTGGGACATTGGTGGTATCAAGAGGTCTCTCCACATTTGAAGAGTAAGTGAGCAGCTCATGTCTGGGAATGTCTGAGAGGGTTTCCCACTTCCTCTAGGGTCATAGCAGAGAGAAGCTTCCTTCCCTTGGAAGGATGGGGTGTTTGGGAGATCCTGGGTGGAAAGGGAGGCCCCCTCTGACCTTGGCGATCTGGTCAAACTTGCCGAAGAGCTCATTGAGCATGAGTACCAGCTCCTTGGGGGAGCACTCACTGGCCAGCCGTGTGAAGCCCACGATGTCAGCATACAGCACACTGCACAGGGAAGATCTTGTTAATGGGGCCAGGGACTCAGTCCATGGCCCTCCTCTCTGGTCACCCTTCCTCATACCTTACTCCTTGGTGCCTCTTCACATAGAGGCTATGGAAGTTATTGGCATTTTCTGGCTGTGACCCCTGTCCAGCCTGCAGCCGTGCCATGATCTCTGCTTTCATCTCTTGGGCCAGGTAGGCAGGAAGGATTGACAAGAGAAGGTGTTCCTGGGGAAGGTCACTGTGAGCACCAACCCTCCCATACTTAGCCCTCCAAGCCACCCAGAAGCCCACACTGCTTCCCCCCAGTGTGCTCCGCTCAGGCCTGCCTGTTCCAGCACCCCACTCCACTCTTTTGGGACTTAATACTCTGTACCAACACCTAAACTATAGTTCTTCATTCAATATAATGTCCTGAAGTGCTTTGAGCCTAGTGACAATGTTGGGCAATAACCACATTTTATACAAGAGGGGAAACACCACAGAAGGTCAAGAAACTTGTTCAAAGTGACTGGGCTTGTGAAAGAGCCCATGTGTAATGTAAACAATTCCCTCTGAGCACGGGCCCAAGCTGCCTCCCAGGCCTAGCTGACCTGGTGCTTTTTCTCTGTGTCCAGTCTCCGGCGAGAGTGCAGGGAACTCAGTGCTTCCCGGAAGGTGGCGCGCAGCGCCCGCTCCATCAGCGCCTTGTGGTATGCCCCCACCACATTCCCACACAGGAACAGCACTGCATTTGCTGTCAGCTGTGGGTGAGGGCTGGCTTCAGAAGGAGCAGGACCAGGGGAGGTCAGGATGTCTGTAGCTGAACTTGTTTTCCAGGACAGGATGGGGAGGGCCTGGCTCTACATTTGGGGATCCAAGCATCACAGAGCAAGTGATGCCACCTTGTGAGGTACCCAGTGTCTCCCCTCCTGGTGGTCTCTGCTCTAGACTCTTGGCTGGTGGGCCAACATGGCATCTTAGGTCTAGAAATCTTTACAATTTGCATGTACTTTTCCTTTACCCAGGATACCACTTCACCATCCTCATCCCCCGTCTCCACCATAGCTGTTCAAAACTACTCAAGTCCTGATTTTCATGCTTTGTTATCTGCTTCTGCTTCCACACCCTTCTCTCTTGCCTGTGGGTGCAGAGCCCTCTTCTGGTATCAGTTGGTGGGTTGTCCTGCTGTGCCTGCAGCAGGAGGACACTGTCCAGGTCCCAGGATCCTGCACCTTCTGTTATACCCAACCTTACAATCACAGCTCAGTAAACACTCAGCTGGCCCAGGGCACTGCCTGTACTCTTTGCAGGCTTACCTGTGGCAGCAGCGCAGGTCGGGAGTCCGGCTGTGGCCCAAGGTAGAGCCCGAGAACCAGCAAGTGTGAGAGTGAGGCGGTAAGGCCTGCAACAGCAGCTTCCCACATGCCCAAGGGCAGCATGGCATACACAGTGAAGATGATGAAGAGGAAAAAGGACACCTGGAGCAGGTGCAGGAAGCTGAAGGCTCACATAGCTTCCCCATTCCTGGCCTGGCTCCCCCATTGCTGGCTGGCTCCCCCATTCCTGGCCTGCCATCCTTCTTACCTGGTCCCAGGCACTCACGATGCCTCCAGTAAACAGGAAGCCTTGGCCCAGAGCCAGCAATGCAGCCCACACAAGTCCAGACAGGGGTCGTGTCCAGCGCTGCAGTTGCTGCTCACGAGAAGCCAGGCCCAGCAGCAGTGAGAAGCCGCCCAAAGCACATAGCACCGTGGTAAAGAAGCCTGGGTCTGAGGTCAGCTCCTGCAGGGAAGAGTGTGTGTGATGAATTGGATGGAAGCTTAGGGCACTTAATCAAAGATGAGAAGCCGATTAGATAGAGGAAGAGTAAGCAGCTCCCCAGACATTTTTGAAAAATGTCTCAAACAGCAAAGGAAGCACAGCACTTATGTTAGCCCTGCATAAATAATTTGCACCATAAGAAACTGCCAGCGGGGCACAGGCAGGGGTGCACACTTGTAATCTGGGAGGCAGAATGCCCCTGGGTTTGAACCCCCTGATGGCTGGGGCCATACCTTCAATGACAAGGCCCAGGGTTCAATCCTTAGTATCAGGGAGGGAAAGGTTTCATCCTTTTGTTTTAATCAGCAGTGTTAACAGTGTCATATGGTTCAATGTATTATCTCGCTTGCATGCTGCTGCAGAACCAGGGACAGTTAACAGAATAGCCACTTTCAACCCCTTCTTGTGTATCTGTAAATCCATGGCCTTTCCACGTCTCAGTTTTAACTGTCACACAAGAATTGTGGCAACCCCTGTTGTCCGGAAGCAACCGACAGACTTTAGCTCACACGATGACACTAAGGAATGAATGTCAGCAAATCAGGGTAATTTGTACAGGATAAACTTGGGACAGCTGACGGGAGGCGTAGCTTGAGGCTTCTGGGACCGCACGCAGCAGCTCTTGTACAGCAGAGGGCGCTCTTCCCGGCACCCTCTGAGTGTAGAACGTCGGGGTTCCGTCACCTGCCTCTGCTCTGGCAAATCCCTCAGCTATTCCCGCCCTTTGTCCCCACCTCTTTCCCGACTTTGGGTGGAGCAGCAAGGGCTGGCCACACTCATTTGATTTTCCCACCTTGCCTGCGAGAAAGCAAGGAGGGAAAGCCTGGAGCAGGACATTTCCAGATACGGAATTGAGATTGTTTTCCTCCTCAAAGAGAGCCTGAAAATGGGTCGATTTGAGGGTCTCCCTGCGGGTTGAATGAAGGGGCCATCTGAATATTGGGTACAACTGCCCCACATTGCCAAGAAGGGAGAAAAAAGCAGGAAATGAATTCCCACGGGGGCTTGAGTAGCATTTCCCCTCTGGAAAATTGGAAAATCTGGTGTTGGATTTAGTATTCTAGAACTGGGGGAGCACAGAAACTCCTGAGGTCTGTGAGAACCCGGAGAGAAATGAGAAGCATTCTGGACCCAAGACAGCAGGGCCTGAGCCTGCCTGGGGTCTCATTAGTTCGAAGCAGGCCGTTTCTCTGGCTCCCAGGGGGGGAAAAAAAAAAAAAAAAAGCATGGCAAAGAAACTCCTCTAACCGATCCCCAAAGCGACCCCGCGGCCAGGGCTCCCTCCCGCCGCAATGCCCGCTCACCCTGCCGCTCGCCCAGGCCACGGCGAGCAGCGCCAGGAGAGCGCAGAGCACGATGGCCAGCAGCAGCAGCAGCAGCGGGTACTGCTGGCTCAGGCTGTAGTAGGTCTCGTAGAAGAGGTCCTCGCTGGGGGGCGGCCGGGGGCTGAAGAGGCGGGCCATGGTCTCCGCCGCCCGGGCCGCAGGCCTCCGGCGGGCCGAGCGCGGAGTGCGTGCCGGGGGCTCCACCGCGCCTCTCTTCTCACCTGCGCCAAGGCCGCAACCCCGCCGGGCGCTCCCGACGGCCGCCCCCTCCCGCGAGCCCAGCCACCCAGAGAGATGCCCGGACTTGGGGCGGACGCGAGGGGGCCGGGGTCGTCTTTCCTCAGCTCACGGCTCGCAGCGCAGCCCAGAGCGCGGGTGGCGGGTCGCGCTCACCCGCTCCGAGCTGGTCTCAGATCCCAGGCGCCAGGCTCTGCCCTCCGGCGCCACGGCCCCCTCCCACTTCCCCGGCGGGACGCCCAGCCCCTTCCCGTGCAGGAGCACTCCCGGCCTCCCCTCAGTCCACCCCCTCGGATCTTCTCATCATGGCCTTCCCTCCTTGGTCCCCGCAAGGGCAGGGAGTAGCAGACCGTGGGAGAGAGGTGAGGGGCAGTCCTAAGGGGATGTGTCAAACTACAGTCAGGACGGAAAGGTATGGGGAGGAGGACTGGGGTTGCCTGGTGAGGCTACCAGAAGAGCCCAGGCCCCGTATCAGATGGGGTCGAGGTCTAAGTCAGGGTAGGGGCCCTCATTCTTCTCCACTCCCACCTCACAGGCAGCAGCTCTGTCAGAGTCTGAACGGTTCTTACTCCTGCCACCTCCAGCTCCAGGGCAGGCTGTATTCTGCGTAGCTTCCTGGGCCTATAGCTTTCCGTTCCCCAGTGCTATCTGAGAATCATAATGGCTCACCACTGTAATCCCAGAATTTTGGGAGGATGAAGCAGGAGGATTTCAGAATTGAGCCCAGCCTGGGCAGCTTAGTTTAGTGAGACTGTCTCAAAATACGAAAAATAAAAATAAAAGGCTGGGGATATAGCTCACTGCTAAGACTCTCAATCTCCAGTACCAGAAAAAAAAAAAAAAAAAAAAAAAGGAGCTCTAACACCTAGAAAGCATGGTGAGAGTATGTGACCCTGTGGGTGGAGGGTGGTGACAACAGGGGAGGGGACCTGGAGAGCCGGGGGCTTCCAGTACCGGCACCTGCAAGTTCCCATAGAGCCACCCCTCCCATTCCCAAGGGGCCTGATTTAGACAGTCTTCAGGTCCAGAAGAAAAGGCAGGCTGTGGGACCCTGAGCTCTACCCTCCCCCACCCCCAGTCTAGGCCTAAGGTGGGGTCTGCAGTGAGCTCTCGAGGAAGTGATTCACCCCGGGACCCAGGAAGCCAGGCCTCCAGGATTCCTTCCTGCTACCAGCCCCCAGTGTCCCCTTCCTGCCTTACTGCAGCACCTCTTTTCCTCCAGGCTGTTAGCCCCTGGCCCCCATCCTTATCACCACACCCCTTCCAGGCCTCAGACTCCGGTGTCTGCCTTCCGCTAACTTTCAAATGTGTTTATTGACTTGGTTTGGATGTAGGTGGGACCACACTTGAAGAAAGAAGAGGGCTGCAGGAGGTGCCGCTGGCTGTGTCAAGTCCTACGGGCAGCCTGGGAGGTGCTTCAGTTCCCACTTTATGCGGGCCATGTGACCCATGCCACATTTTGGTTTCTGGCAGGCCTTCTTTCAAACCTACTTCTGAGGGTGCTGCCCCCTCCTACCCATACTAAAGGGTATTGAGTGCTGCTTAGGCAAGGTGGCTGTCGGGTATACTGTCATGTTGTTGCTTCCAAACTGCACATAACTGCTCTTGTATATACTTGGTACTTTTAAGAAAAAGAATGGTGGTGGTGAAAGGATTCAGATGCAATTAGCAGGTTCACTGGGGAAGAGAGCAGTGACACCTAGTGTTCATCGGGGGAAAAGCAAGAAGGGAACTTGCCTGTCAGTGGTATTTCCCGACCCTTATCTTTCAGGCTGCCCATTCATCCACAGCTCAGGAAAAGTAACAGCTGATATCTGGGGTTTTGTGCTGGGAGACAATTTTGGCCGCCATAGCAGCAACAGTACTGAGAGGCTCACAGATCCGGTGCTGGGGGTAGGCAGAACACCCAAAGGCAAAACCTTGCTTTGCTGTAAGACCTCAGCAGCAGCATCTCCTAGTGGGTGTCAGTTTCTTCATTTATGAAGTTAGAAAATTGTGCTTTTCCCTGCCCCTCACATGCCCTGGGCCAATATTAGGTATTAAGGAAGGAGGTGGTGGAAAATTTAGTAGGGGAAGGGAATGCGGTGGGGAATGTGTACCTACCTGTTTGCGGATTTGGCTCTGGAACCCTGGAGGATGCCTTGCTATTCTGACCTTTACCTCCCTACAAATGACACAGCTGTCAGGCCTCCTGTGCAGGAGCCCAGTTCCTCTGCTGCGTACATCAGCCATCAGCCCCAAGTGTTTCCTGCTAAGGGAACAGAGGTTCCAGAAATCCTAGATCATCCCGTAGGAGGCCAATGTCTCACCTGATTCCTTTGGGATCCAGGACTTGGAATTCCAGTTAGAATGGGCCTGTCTGTCTGATTTCTGAAAATGAGGTCTCTGGAGTTCGGAGATTTTGGTCCTTTGAATATGAAGAGGTCCTAGCTCTCCTGGCATGCTGAACCTGCTCTCCCTGTGCCCTGCTCTCCTCAGTTAGGAGGGGAAGCCCCCTGTGTATTTTTCAGGAACTGGGATGGGGGGACTGCTTCAGCTTCAGGCAGTTCAGACTCAGAAAACATGGATTCAGTCTACGAGGATCAGCTTCCGGTGGCTCCCCCCATTCATTTGCTTCCCTCCTTGACTTGGCTGTGGGGTAGATGACCTCCTATTGCTGTGTCTGTGCAGACAAATTTTGTCACCTGCAGAGACAGGAGGAGCTTGTGGGGCCTGAGTTGGAAGAATCAGAGTAAATATACCTGGTAACTCGGCGGTAGGGTGGGGAGGGCAAGGATAAAGGTGAGGGCATACACAACAATGCTCAGAAGGGAGTCCCTGGATGGCCATGGAGCCATGTGTGCCAGCCTTGGCCAGATGCTAAGTGGTAGATGGAGTTTGTCACTCACTTCCAGGATGGCAGCATCCACATTGCCATGTGCCCCCAACAGGCCTTTTTGGTTGTTTCCTGGCATTCTGAGAAATGGCGGATTAGGTTGCAGGTGGGCAGAGCACCCATTCTTGGGAAAAGCTCCCTGCTCACAGAACCAAGCCTCCTCCAGCTGCTAGTGAAGTGGCTGGCTCACCTGGGAAGAGGAGCCCTGTCACCGGGCTCATGGCTCCAGCTGCGCTGCATCAGCTTCTTCAGTTCTTCCAAGCCTGGAGTCTCAGGGCTGGACAGAGGCAGTTCAGTCATTAGGGCTTGGATCTGCTTCTTAGTTACTATCAGTGGTATCTGCACCACCACTGATAGTAACTGCACCACAGATCAGTGGTATCTGCACCACCACTGGGGTGGGGTGGGAGGGTGACAGAAAAAGCACTCAGGGTGTGAGGGTACTAGTCCCCTTGAGTAGCTAAGCTGGAACGGGAAGGACTCAAGACTTTCAGGAGGAGACCACCTGGGGTTAAGGACCCCCAAATTCTTACCCTCAGGTTCTCTTCCTGCTCATAATGCCCATATGAGGATCCCAAAGCTGCAGGAGATACAGGTGGATAAGTGGCCAACCACTGGCAAGACTCTTTTCCTACATACCACTCCCCAAAAGGGCCTCCTGAGAGGTGTAGAAATCTGGGATGTGTGTTTGGGGCAGGCATCTTACTGTAGACATCACTGGCCTTGGAAGCCTTCTTGTTTATATCAGCCAATAATTCTGGAGCCAAGTAAGCCAGGGTATCCCTTGGCTGCTGGGTTTCACACCCTGTTCCTGACTGTGATGGTCCCTGAAATGTGGAGAGGCCAAAATCTGCCACCTGCAAAGGAAGGGAAGGAGGAAGAATTGAATGTAGTGGGCCAGACAGCCTCTAGAATCCTCCCCTCCCTTCTTGCAGAAGGTGCAGGGCTTATTTTCTAAAGGAAGTAAGAAAAGCTAGAATCAGTAGGGGCTTGAGTGGGAGAGACAGGCCTCCTGCGGGTGGGTCTGGGTCACGTGGTAAAAGCACAGCTTCCTTCATGACAGGCCGGAGGCTCCTGGGCTAAGTTGGCTGCCATGGCTATTCAATAACCAGGGCCACCACAGGCCCTGTAGCCAGTGGGAGGGGCGGGGGCAGCCCAGAGGGTGGGAGTAGTGGTGGAAGCTTCTCCCAAGGGTGGGCTGGGTGTGGATGGGCTGACCTTGGCATGCAGATTTGTGTCTAGCAAGACACTGGAGGGCTTGAGGTCCTAGTGCAGGAGCACTGAGTTCAGACTGTGCAGATAATTCATCCCAAGCACCACTTCCTGCAGTAGGCAACAGAGGAACAGCCAGGGCCCTGGCCAATCCCTGCATAGCAGCCCGGATAGGGAGCCATTCTCCATAAGTTGTGTCACCAGAGCTGGCCTAGACATGCCATCCACTGCAGGCTCTTTGTCTCTCCTAGCAGTCTTAACACGTACTGGTTATTCAGACTTGTGATGGTTTTCACCTCCTTGGATATCGCGTCTCTAAAGAGGAAGTTACATCATGCTTGTTTTCTGGAAGATCTATCCCTTCCCCTTTGGGCAGGTAGCACAGCAGTTCCTCCCCCTTGGCCAGACCTCCTGGGCTCTGCGCAGGGACACTCACGAATGCATGATCTTGGCAGCCGCATCGCAGTCCCACTTCCTATACTGTGCCCGGAGCACTGTGCCAAACCCACCTTCGCTTACAAAGTCTGGGTTCTTTAGGTTCTCAGAGGACACCAGAGAGGCAGAGACACTGATGAGCCTGAGAAAGGGGTCTTGTCCGCCAGCCAGCAGCCAGACCCCTCACTGACCTCTAGGGCTAGTGACTCTCACCATCTGTCAGTCTCCAATTTCCAGCCCTGTCACTGGGTCCCTGGCAGTGGCAGGATCTTCTCTGAGTGTCTCTGCAGAGTGCCCTCATCCTACCTTCTATTCATAGCTTTCGAGACATCAGGTTGGCAGCTGCAAGAGACTTCTGAAAGTTGTAAGCCAGCAGATGCAGTGGTTCTGGAGCTGGGCTTCTCTTGCCTGTGGGAGTAGACAGGAGCTATAGAGGGGTCACTCTAGGTCAAGGCACAGATTTCCCTTCCTAGGTCATGTCCCCTACAAAGGGTGACCAACACATTTCTTTTGCCCATAGGCTCTCCTACAATCCTACCCTGCCCCAGGCAGGGCAGAAGGAAGTGTGCGTTGGGGGTAGAATTTCCTGTACACATGCTGTGGGCATAGCCAGTCTATCTGTAGCTGGCCATCAACTCTGGGTGGAGTCTTCACCTTCCAGGAACCCACAGTTAACTCCCTGAACATCCCACTGTTCCCTGCGCCAACAGATGTCCAGCTCCAACACCTGCCAGGATGTGGGGAGGGAGGTTTTATGGTTCTATGATTAGGAGGACTTTTTGATTCTAAGACTCAACTTTCCCACAGCTGCCCTAAGATCACATCTAACACTCCTGTAAAGCTTACTATGTGCCCAGTGAGCTTATTTCATTTTACATCAACCCTAAGGGTATAGGTACTGCTTTTATTATGTTTTCATAAATAAGGAAACTGAGGCACTGACTGTGTAAATACCTTACCCAAGTATATGTGGAAATGACAAAGAACCTGGCTCTGAATCATCAAGTTACTCTATTTTCATACAGGCTTCCAGCTTGTGCCATTCCACTGGTGATGCAGGTGGTTGGGGGATAGATACATTCATCAGTGCAGTGAAGGTCCCTGTCTCTCTTCCTGCCTAGGGCCTGACCACTGCTCTTGCTGAGGCAAGTGCCTGCCATTGGCAGGGATTGGTGCACTCCATCAGCAGGAGCTCCTGGAGCTGGAAGACTGAGACCCTCTCCCAGAGCACTGTGTTCAGGCCACGTGTGTTGGCTACCCAGACATATCTCAGTGCTTCCTGCAGATGGCCCAGATGACAGCTTCTCCATGCAAAATACCCTGATTAGTCCCTGTTCCTGTCAAGCATATGCTTTGGATGAGGGCCTTTGAGAACTCAGGAACCTGGAGGAGCCTTAAGGATTTAGGGTGGACGAAAGGCTGTGGACTGTGTTAGCTCTCTCTGAAAAGTGCTCCCTTTGTTTCATGCTTTTCATTCTGTCCAGTGGTCCAAGAGCTGTGCTGGTGGGAGAAGTGCCCGGCAGCTTGCTGTGGTTTCTAGAGTTAACTGCAAACTGCAGACACCTGCACCACGGATTTTGGTGAGGTCCGCTCATGGTGTGCAGGAGCTACTTAGGAATCCTTAGACTGTAGTTTCCCAAAAAGCCACTGCATGTTAAGTGACCAGTATATATTTAGAAGCAGTGTACAGAAGCAGCTTACAAAGAAAGAAAAATCAAACCAGTTACTTTGCTATGTAGTTCTTCTTTACAACTAAAGCAAAACAAAAAGGAGGGGCATCCTGCTTTAACAGAAATGTTAGAAAAATAAGCAGATACATTTCCTTCTCTGTAATAGTCAAAAAAAGCACAATAAATTTAATTTTACTGACAAAAATTGGATGTTGACTTACATGTATTCATTAGAAAGACAGTAGGCTATCATATTAACAAGAACCTAGCTTCCCTGTCCTCCTCTGGTGCTCTGAGTTTTAGCTCACAGGTAACAAACACCAAGTTAGTTGTCCCAGGCCCAAGGCTGAGTTGAATTCTGCATTATTCATGGCTGTGTTTAGCGTTAAGTAGAAAGTAATTCTGAAAGGCTGAAGCTTTTCTCTGCTTGTTCTGTTAGTCCATAAATTCTTTTTTTATTTATTTATTTTTTTCATGTGCTTATCTAATATTTTATTTTATTTATTTTATTTTTTTTGTTTTTTGTTTTTGTTTTTTTTTCAAAGTTTTATTGATAAACATATAGCAATGAGACAGTTTCAAATCAAATCGAAAGTACAGTTTCAACAAATAATACACTGCATATATTCTTCTTAGTGGTTAATTGCTGTACAAGATGCAGACTTGTGATCCTACTTACAAACACCATTAGAATAAATCATTCTATTCATTAAGAGAATGCAACTATATATCTATCCCAACCACTTTGAATACAGATACAAAATGGACATTCATAGTTATACCCCAATTTTTTAAAGTTCCGTTGTTCAATATTATAGGTGTGTAAACTCAGCAAAATATTCTAAAAGAGTCCAGTAGCCCATAATAGCATTATGTCTTTCTTTTTTAAACAGTAGGAAGAATTTATTGAGATAAGGAAAGCTTCTGTCTGAGAGGGACAGAAGGAAGCCCAGAAGGTGGGTTGTCCTGTTAGTCCATAAATTCTCTGCTACCTGTGGCACAAGCTTCATGCTCAGACTTCCACTTCAGGAGCTGAAGAATGGATGGACCTGCATTTTCTGAAGTTTCCTCTAGTTACTGTTCAGTTCTCTCTGGCAAGATAATCTTTGGCGTTGGCAGTTCACCACTATCTTCTCCAGGATTCACACATTTCCAAAGGCCACAGGTTTTTTCTGCCACAGTGTGCCACAGTCAGTATTCCACCTTCAGAACCACTGACAGAGTTCTCCACAGGACTCAGTCTCACACATTGAATAGAACCAAAATGTTCTTTGTAGGGTTCTAATTCTCCACATTATCATGATACTTATTATAAGTCTTAAAACTTCACTACCTACAGAGAGCAATTCTTTCTCAGGATGAGGTGATGCAGAATTCATGGCTGCGGGTACTTCAAAGGGTTTCACAGGGTCCAAAGTTACTGCACTACAAAAAGCATTAGATCATAGTATAACCAGGATCTCTTCCTCAGAAATATATTCCACACTCCTAAAGGACACGTTAAAATTTAAATTGCACTTCTGTCATGGTAGCATGATCCCAAGAGCAAACGGTTTTATCACCAGCTGAAAGAATCTGTTTACCTTCATTACATCAGCTTGCTTTCTTTCTTCCTTTCTTTCTTTCTTTCTTCCTTCCTTCCTTCCTTTCTTTCTTTCTTTCTTTCTTTCTTTCTTTCTTTCTTTCTTTCTTTCTTTCTTTCTTTCTTTTTTCTTTCTTTCTTTCTTTCTTTCTTTCTTTCTTTCTTTCTTTCTTTCTTTTTCTTTTTTAATGTATTTGGTAGCTCAGCACACCTGAGGGCAGGGCTAGCATGGCATGTAGTGTCAGGAATTGGAAAAAAAAAAATCAAACCCCAGTCTCTGCAGGCACTTAGTCTGTTGAGCTATCTCTCTCTGGTCTTGTATCAACTTTTTAATGCCACAGATATATGATCACTGATTTCCTTAGGTTCTGCTTCAGGTTTGTTCATATGTAACAGTTTATCCTGTACTCTATTAGCAAGTAATTGCTACTTTGTGTGAAATCCACAGTGAGGCAGAGCCAGCAATTCACCTCTGGAGACAGCACCCCACCTTTTGGCTGTGAAATCTGCAGCTGCTGGAGCTGCTTCCTTATTCAGTGTTGCACCGCAAACAGCAACCTTGTGACCCCCAAGTGTTCTAATGCAATCTCCTGTAGCATTTCCCTGGTGTAACATAGGTTTAGCATCTTTGCAAGAACTGATAGAGAAAGACCCATAAGGCATGATGCCACTGAAGGCCAAGTCAAGCACAGGCTGTACCTGGCTGGAGAGCTAAGCAGCAAAGAATGTGCTCTTAGCTAGGACAGGAAACAAAAAGGGGAGATTGAGAGGTTAGAGAAAGGCTGAGGAGGGAGGGGGAAGGGAGGCTGGAGGGGGAAGTGGAGACACGCATTGTCCACACCAGTCAATCTTTAAATTAAAAAAAAAAAAAAAAAGAATTAATCACGGTAATTGTAACATTGCCACCAATATCCCTCCAAATAATCACCATGCCATTGCTTTAGACACACCCATGGCATTGTTCTCACCACTTTCTATAGTAGTTCTGGAGCTTCTCCTTTGTGTCTTTTGTGGTATCCTGGCTTCCTCCATGTCCTGAACTGACTCAAGTGCTTTCCTTTCATGGTTGTTTTGACTTTGGAGAAGAACCAGAAGTGCAGAGCCAGACCCAGTGCATGAGGTGGGTGTGGGACAAACGCAATTTTTCTTTTTCTTTTTCTGTTTTTTTGTTTTTTTTTTTGCGATGTAGTCTCACTATGTGTCTTTCAGGCCAATTTTAACCTCACTATGTAGCCCAACCTTGAACTCTTGGAGATCCTCCTGCCTCAGCTTCCCAATTACTGGGATTAAAAATGTACACCACCATGCCTGACACAAAAGTAATGTTTTTATGAGTCTGCTTTTCCATTGGATGACCCCCAGAAGCAGCATTCACCATATATCTATATCTAGATCTATATCTAGATCTAGATATAGATCTAGATATAGATATAGACATATATATCTCACTATATATATATCTCACTATATATATATCTCACTATATATATATATCTCACTAT